GTAGCTCGGGACGCTATATATAATTCTCCCACAAAACTAAAATTATAACTATTAAGTTAATAAATCTTATATTCGTTCTATCAATTTCGTTTTCTTAAGGTAATTCATTAAATTAAAAAAAAACATTTAGAAGTAGAAAGTTGTTCAAAATATCTTGTATATTCAATTACAATTTATTTTCTTGTAAATGACTAATTTCTTTCTCTTCACAGAATATTTAGAACAGACTAACAAAACATGTTTTCATGTCTCCTCTTGAAAACAAAAATCACAATTTCCTGTTGGATGTTTTCCTGTTTCAAATATCGTACTATTTAACCTTGTATGTTCAAAACGTAATCTGGATATAATGGTTTCCTCTTTTCTATTTCTTCTTGTTCTCCTCATTGTACCAACTTTTCTGTACTGTAAAGCCATCCTCTTCCAACTGCTTTTACCAGCTTTCCTTAACCTTTTGTTTAATAATAGATTTCATTTCTTCTTTACTAAATGGTATCATTATATCAATATAACTATTTTTTGTAGCTTGTTTTGGATATTTATCTGCTAACTAATTTCCTCTTACTCCTATATGTAATGGTATCCATGGAAAAATACTATAAATTCTATACATCAAAAATTTAATCTCTAATAAAAGGTCTGCTCTACTAATAGAATGATTATTTAATATTGAATATAATGATGAACTTAAAACATATACTTCTTACAGGACGAACTTCCTCAATTCATCCTAAAGCCAAAAATGATTCCCATCATCTCTCCTGCATAAACTAATAGTCCATCAGTAATTCTTTTACATTTCTAATATGAATTCTGGATCATTGAATGAAACCCCTCTATTGCTTTTTGAATTTTATGAAGCATCTGTATAAATTTCAACATATCCATAGCAATTATTGTCTAAATAAATTTGTAATGAAATTGGATCTAACAGGTTTTCTTTCACCCCCCCTTTAAAAAAAAAAAAAAAAAAAAAAAAAAAAAAGTTAAAAATGGGATTTGGACCCATTTTTGTAAAAAAAAATGAAGAAAAGCTTTGTAAGGATTGTAATTATACCAAAATATTCTGGAGATATGTCCATTTTTTCATCAAAAAAATCTTAACATTAATTTAGCAGCTAACGGTGTTTTGTTTGGGATGGAGAAATTTGAACTTGTCAAAACAGAATTTTTATGTTATAAATTTTTTTTTATTATTTATGGTAAATATTATATTCACACCTCCAAATATTTACAAAAACTTAATTTCCAGATTTTATTATCTTCTATTAATATCAATATAGAATCCTTAAAATTTAGTTTAAATGCCAAAGCAATGCAAATTATAACTGCCCTTAAAGATTATTATAACCTTGGAGCATAGATTCGATTTTGACATTTTAAAATAATAGTTCTGTTCTGTAAAGCCTTTTGTTGTTGTATAAGTTTGTAATTATTAATGTTCTATATTGTTTATGTATGTTCTTTTTTTTGCAATAAAAAGGTCACTATTCTGCATTTTGCTATGAAGAAGCGGCATGAAGCATATCTACTGTTTCATTTCCTCTCACCCCTTCATGCTCTGCTACCCAACAGGACTGAACATCTATTCCACATCTAAATAACCTGAATAAACTCTGATTAATTTCTAAGACAAGGTCTTTCCTATTATTTCCTCCTGAATGAATGCTTTCTGTTGCTGCATATTACCACCCTGTCCTGTCTGACCTCCTCCACCCACTGGAAACTAATAGTTATTGCAACCATTTCTGCTGTCTATACAGACAGAAGGTCTGTTAATCTTTTACAGATACATATATGAAACTCTGGAATGTATATTTCTATTCCCACATTTCCATTTGAATTTTTTTTTTAACCATCTCTGTAAATTAAGGAAAAACAGAACTTCATAGTGGAAAATTAAATATAACGAATGCTGATGTATTTAGGCGTTGATAATAACTTTAATATAATCCACATTACCAGTGAGCTATTAGGATTTTAACAGTTAACCTCTTACACCCTCAGGGGGTATAAATAAATTTCTGCCTGACAAAAACACACAAAAGTAAATCACTTATAGCCTCACAGCTATTAGATTTAAGAAGAAACTTTTGGTACGTCTGTAAAGGTAAGATGTCATAGAATGGTTTTCTGATGTCAGCACCATTGTAGCTTTGACCCTGCCTGAAATATTAGGGAAAAATTACAAAATATTTTGCTTTTTTTTAACCTCACCAAAAAAATTTTTGAAATAAACATTGCAAAACACTACCAAAATATTATTTATAGCACAAAAAAGTAGTACAGACTTTTAAATCTAAATGTTGTGTAAAAATATACCAAATTTGGACTCAATCAGATGAATCATATTTATTTTAGAATGATATTAGTGAGAAATTTCTTAGGCGGAGGGGCCATTTTGGCACATTTATCCTAAAATGTCACCAAACTGTGCCAAATATGTTTTTTACATCAATACTGGGGGTTTGTTAAAATTACGAGGTAACGTAGCAGCTGGACCCACCGGTGGGTCCGTAGGGTTCTAGGGGTTAATCACTTTACAGGACAAATTAATGGCATTTTTCTATTTTTAGTTGGCCAATTATATGCTGATGTAGATTCTCAGTAATCACTATCAATATGTTGCCGGAGTCTCTGAAAAACTCATGATTATCTCCAAATACAAAATCCCAGGACATTTCAAACCAAACAAGACCCTGAAACGGAGACTAGTCCATCCCATAGAGGTGGTCAGCAGCACCAAATTCCTGGGGGTGCACATCACAGAACACCACCTCACTGGTCAAAAGGGCACAGAAGCACTTGGACTTCCTGCGGAGGATGAGGAGAGCCCACCTGCCCCCCCCATCCTCCCCACCTTCTCCAGAAGCACCATAGAGAGCGTTCTGAGCAGCTGTCTCACTGTGTGGTGTGGAGGCTGCAGCGCCTCAGACTGGAAGAAGGTGAGAACAGCAGAGAGGATCATGGGGGCTCCTCTTCCCTCCAATAAAGACATTTCATCCCAGCGCTGCGTGTCCCGAGCCCGTGACATCATCACTGACCCCTCACCCCCCCAACATGGACTGTTTTCCCTGCTGCCCTCTGGGAAGAGGCTTCACAGCATTCAATGCAGGACCAGCAGGTTCTGCAACAGTTTCTTCCGCCATTAGACTGCTCAATGTTTTATGAAATGGGGTTTATTAAAAAACAAAAAAAAAACTGAATGTTGGAATCTGTGAACCATTTACAGTTGTACGTTTACATTTATCACTGCTGCACTTTAAAAGAAAAAAATGAAAATGTCCTGAGAGCTGTACTGAACAAAATTAATTTTTGTATACAGCCTTTGTATCCGAGCGGAGTGGTGTCTGCAGTTCAGTGCAGTGAGGAATGCTCTGATCTTTATATTGGAGAAACCAAACAACCTCTCCACAGACGCATGGACCAACACAGAAGAGCGCCCTCCTCTGGACAAGACCCTACGGTACATCTACACCTGATGGACAAAGGACATTCTTTTAAAGACCGGAATGTTCACAGTTTAGAAAAAGAAGCCAGGTGGTTTGAGAGGGGCGTGAAGGAAGCCATCTATGTTTAGAAAAAAAAACGAAACCTTAAACAGAGGGGGTGGATTCCAGCTTTCATAAACCTACAATGTAGCGATTGAGTTGATCCTTTCCTGCTATCATCGCAGCCCCAACCCCTTTACAGGGCAACAGAAGACCTCGCCTATTCAGCCAGGCCAACAATTCCCTTTAACGACCCCCTTTCAGGGACATAGACAGCTGGGCATGCACTGTGTGATATTTTTAATCGTAACTGTACAACGAAACCGCAGGGTTTAAAAGTTCACAGCTCACGATGTTTGTTCTCACACTGTGCGACCCGATGCTCTGATGCGATCTACCTGCTCACACTGTACGCCTAAAGTCCACATGTCGGACTCCGCTCAAAGAGATGGCGCTGGTCAGACTCCTCAATCTGAAAGAACTACTTCCTTTTTTGTACGTCCGCAGTGCTCGAGGTTCTGGTAGATTGGCTTGTAGCTCTGTTTCTACAGCAGGATTTGTCCACGACCACCTTAGGACAGCCGACTGAATTTCAAACATGTTTGATTTTCTCCAACCTTATGATTCCTGATGGGGAGGTGGTCGTTAGAGGCTGATCGCCCCTCGTTACCCCCTTGTACACTACACATCGCAGGACGGTAAGGCCTAAACTCTGCCCGATTGAAAAAAAATTCTCGCACGACTGGAAAATCAACTCAATATAAATATATCATACATGTCCAGCTTAAAGAAGCCAAATTACACTCATTCCAAAGGGGTGGACACGTTCGTTCGTCTCAATTTTCAGGTTTTCTAAACAAAAACAAGGCTACTGTATAAAGCCTGGAACTCAACGCCATTTATGACATTTTGAATTGAAAAATCTTCCTGAATGGGAAGAGAAAATTCTTCAAACTCAGAAACAAAGTCCAGTGGGTTGTTTAACTTTTTGGCCCCCCGATACCTGGCTGAGCAGTATCGGCCGACACCATCTGTTTGAAATTGATATGCGTGTATTTAGAATAACTGCAGACTACTTGGATGTAAAATAATTGCCATCATGGCTTTGTCAAGCTGCTGCCTACCTTTGTGAAGCAGGAAAAAGACTAAAAGTGAATCCAGTAGAACTTTTTACTGCCTACCTGGAATGGGTGACAATAGTTGAATATAGTTTTGGCTCTCAAAATGGAATCAGTGCCCTATTTGTAGGTACTCACCAATACCAACATTTTAGTGCTGGATCGGGGCCCCCGCCCGGTACTGGTATAACAAATTTTTAAAACTGAATTTCATTTTATCTATACCCCCATTTTGAAAGAATCCTTGAGATATCTACAATAACAAAAGAAACCTCTCAATTTGAACATGTCATTCTAAACTGGGTTTATTTGCAACATTAGCATAAATGTTCACAAACCTAAGCCTCTTATGAGTCCTAAAGATGAGGAAAATGAACTGAAGAGAGCAGGATATCAATGCATTCATTACTTTATTGCATTTAAGGCATTGTATAAAACAGACTCGCCTTAGAACTAGAGGATGAGTAACATGCAAACCAACAACCGTCTGAGAATTATGTGGCAGGGTGTTATTCAAAAATATGCTGCTGCTTTTATTCAGGAGGCAAAAGTACTGGTAGAAACCCTGTCTGTTATTTAAGGGGGAAAAAACTAAAGAACTATTAAAGGACCCATCACCTATAATTGATAGTGTAAAAAACAGTGGGACAATACAGCATCCAAAAACATATTAAATGCGTCATTAAAAATTCAAAATTGTTCCAACCAAGTGAATTTGATAAAGTGTCACACGATAACAGACTACAGGGGAAACCTACAGATTTTTAGAGGGTTATAACAATTACTTTGAGGAAAAGTGCATACAGATACAAGAATATATTAGCAACAGCAATAGCATGTTAGAAGCACTAAATATTTAAACGGTTCAATATACCCGTCATGTAGAAAAATGGGTAGGAAAAGTAACTTTTAAACGTAAATTGAACTGTATATTCTTGGATATTTTGGCCCATGGAAGTGCATGTGAAAGGTCGATGTAAGGCTAACATTTCATGGTCTCTGCAGTCGTCGCATTATTTCCCTTTTTATCCGTCCTCAGCTCACTCCGCTGCAGGCTCTGATAGCCCAGCTGGTACTTCTACCTCTTCGTCGCTGTCGAGACCGCCGGTGCGGCCCACACTGACCCGCATGCTGAGGGGCAAATCTCCTCGTCTGCAAACAGAAACAGTTTTTTTTTTTTAAAGCAAGCTCCCCCACAGTGTCACAGTATCAGAAAACAGCTTGGAACCCATTTCCTAGGTTGTACAGGTGCTGGTCATAAAATTAGAATATTACTGAAGACCAATAAAAACAAAGGATTTATAGAAATGTTGGCCAACTGAAAAGTATGAACATGAAAAGTATGAGCATGTACAGCACTCAGTATTTAGTTGGGCCTCCTTTGGCCTGTATTACTGCAGCAATGCGGCGTGGCATGGAGTCGATCAGTCTGTGGCACTGCTCAGGTGTTATGATAGCCCAGGTTGCTCTAATAGTGGCTTTTAGCTCTTCTGAATTGTTGGGTCTGGTGTATTGCATCTTCTTCTTCACAATACCCCATAGATTTTCTATGGGGTTAAGGTCAGGAGAGTTTGCTGGCCAATTAAGAACAGGGATACCATGGTCCTTCAACCAGGTACTGGTAGCTTTGGCACTGTGTGCAGGTGCCAAGTCCTGTTGGAAAATGAAATCTGCATCTCCAAAAAGTTGGTCAGCTGCAGGAAGCATGAAGTGCTCTAAAACTTCCTGGTATGTGGCTGCGTTGACCCTGGACCTCAGAAAACACAATGGACCAACACCAGCAGATGACATGGAACCCCAAACCATCACTGACTGTGGAAACTTTACACTGGACTTCAAGCAACGTGGATGAAGTGCCTCTCTTCTTTTCCTCCAGACTCTGGGACCTTGATTTCCAAAGGAAATGCAAAATTTACTTTCATCAGAGAACATGACTTTGGACCACTCACCAGCAGTCCAGTCCTGTTTCTCTTTAGCCCAGGCAAGACGCTTCTGACGCTGTCTGTGGTTCAAGAGTGGCTTGACACAAGGAATGCGACAGCAGAAACCCATGTCTTTCATACGTCTGTGTGTGGTGGTTCTTGAAGCACTCACTCCAGCTGCAGTCCACTCTTTGTGAATCTCCCCCACATTTTTGAAGGGGTTTTGTTTCACAATCCTCTCCAGGGTGCGGTTATCTCTCTTGCTTGTACACTTTTTTCGACCACATCTTTTCCTTCCCTTCGCCTCTCTATTAATGTGCTTGGACACTGAGCTCTGTGAACAGCCAGCCTCTTTAGCGATGACCTTTTGTGTCTTGCCCTCCTTGTGCAAGGTGTCGATGGTCGTCTTTTGGACAACTGTCAAGTCAGCAGTCTTCCCCATGATTGTGTAGCCTATAGAACTAGACTGAAAGACCATTTAAAGGCTTTTGCAGGTGGTTTGAGTTAATTAGCTGATTAGAGTGTGGCACCAGGGGCCATCAATTTTGAACCTTTTCACAATATTCTAATTTTCTGATATGATGAATTTGAGATTTTCATTTGTTGTCATTTGTAATCATCAAAATTAAACAAAATAAACATCTGAAATATATGAGTTTGTATGTAATGTATGAATATAATATACAAGTTTCACTTTTTAAATGGAATTACTGAAATCAATCTACTTTTTCATGATATTCTAATTTTATGACCAGCACCTGTATCTTTACCATTAGACAACTACTAGGCAGTTGCCTAGGGCCCCCAAGTTTCTGGGGGCCCCATAAAACTCTGTTTCCATGTATGGTTAATACAACTTTTCCTTATTTGTGCACATTGTGTTTTTGATAAAAATCCTTCTGCTAAAGTGCCATCAGAACGCTGATAATATTAAGTGTGTCTCAGCCCCCCGAGTTGCCTCTTGTAAAGTCTGCAAAAAAGATGTGCAGCTTTTCACAATGGGCGAGTCTGCGCTCTCGAGTCACATGAAGGGTAAGTCATACAGTGGGCACTGGTTGGAAATGGACGGTTTCCTGCGTGATTCCTGCGTGAATCACGATGTATTTCCTGAGGCCAGTTTTTTTTTATTTCAAAAAGAACTGCAATGTACCCGGACAACCACCAGGCGGCACTTGGGAACTTTTTTTTTCTCCTTAATCCAGGCTGTTAAGATGCTGTCTTTAAAGCAGGTTTATTGGGGATTTTGGTGTGATATTGTGCTATTTTATGATGTTTTTGATTAAAATAAAGTTAATGAATTAATTTAACATAGTGACTGCATTATCTTATTTCATGAAAATTGTTGCATACTGTATGGGCGCAGTTATAGATACACCCTGTGATCTTATCTGAGAACTGTTTATTTCTATTTATCTGCATCTCTATTATTTTATGAAAAATGATTATAATTAATCTTTTTGGCAATACTTTTAAGTAAGCCAACTGAAGTAGCCTAGTACACGTTAACGTTAGCGCCTATTTGTTTACGCTAGTAACTGCTAGCTAGGAATTTACAGGCTCAGTTACTGAGTGACTGAGAGTACGGTGTGATAATGTAATGTTAGTATTGCAGTGTTTCCCGCAGCACTATCTTGGCTAGGCGGCTGCCTTGCCAAACTCACGCTACCGCCTCGCCAACGTTCCAAAAAAAACCCCCAAAAAACAAAGTTTTAATTCATTGCCAGGCCCAGACCTTAAAACAGCATTGATAACTCTACGGCTGATAATACTAAATTGAGACACCCTCTGGTTGGTTATATTACTACGCCATGGCAGAGGAGTAATCCACCCCTCCCCCCCCGGCTTGATTTTGACTTTGGAAAAGGTGTACGAACCCTGCCTCTAGCACTTTGATTTCTAAAAAGCTCCTAGCGCTGAATCCAGAGACTTTTTTCTGCTACTGGAGACTTTGGAGACAACATCTAAAAGCAGCGAACTCTGCTCTCCAGAGCGAGTAGATTGGTAACCCCGCCTCCTGCTCTCCTCTATCTTGTCTGCTGTCATGATTCATGCAGCTATTATTTCATCCAAATGAAAAATGGAGAACAGATAAGCAGATCATGGCTTGTCTACAGTGAAAAGAAGGACTGGGTTATTTACTTTGGCCTTTTTGGAAACACAGGAAGGAGCAATCAGCTAAGTGAGCTTAGTGCTTGGAAAAAATCTTTCATCCCTTTAGAGACAGCATGAAAAGTCAGCTGAGTACAAAACATAGAGAGGAAAACAAGAAGAAGAAGAAGAAGAAGAGAGGGACACAACCTAGAACAGATAATGGACGTCTATTCTATTAACATTTCTCTATCTGTAGAACGGGTCTGTTTTATGTGTTGTCTTCTCTATTCAGAGGGCCCCCTGCCTGTCTTTGCCTAGGGCCCCAAATTTCCTAAATCCACCCCTGCCTGTACCTTAGCTTGCTCTTCAGAGTGCTGACTTCACGGTTCATTGCATCCGCCGACTCGGTGGCATCATCCAGGTCCCTCTGCAGCTTCCTGCGGTAAACATTGGCTCTGGTCAGCTCCTCCTCGGTTTCCTCCAGCTGCCGCTTCAGCTGACGCATTCGGGTGTTGGCCTTATCCACCTGCAGAGAACAGTTTTACTAAGCCTCGAGTGGGAACAACTGGGCACAATTCTGCAATAGCTGTGGGATGGCCAAGGCAGGTGTAATGGGAAAGTGAGTGGGCAGATTTTTTTCTAAATTAAGGGTAAAATGTTTTTTCTGGTGATGACAAAAAAACAACTTGTTATTAACTCAAAACAAATCATATCACCTGCATTCAAGGACTGATTACTATCAGTTCTGATACATTTATTCAACATTAAAATATGTATTTCTCCATCCTTGACTAGCTTATCATTGAAACTGTGCGTTTCCTGGATGAGGTTGCCTTTCTCAGTTGCCTTTTGTATCTCTGCATCAGAGCCAGCGGTGCTTCACACACGGCTACGCAGAGAGAGGGCTGCTGCTGACGGGCTAACGTTAGCCCTGGCTAATTCGGTAAATAGGATTATTAACGATTATTTTAAAAATCTATGAATCGGCCGATTATTTTTTTGATTAATCGATGAATCGGACAAAAATATTTTTTATATTAACCTCTTTATTCCAAAATAAAAATTTTAGACAGAACAAACAAGCACACAAGTACAGGTTGCTCATTAACTGTCCTGGTGCAATATGAAAAATAAATGTTTGTGTTAAAACTACGCAAACTTTACTGAGAAATGTAGCTGTACATCCACAAAATATAGGCTACTTTGTTTCATAAAGCGCAAAAAAGAATTTTTTGTTTTTAACCCTTTAAACCCCGATCCAAGAATAAAACAAAAAATTACTTTTCTTTGGTTTGAAGTCCTTATTTGGCCTTTTAACAAAATATGTAAAAAGAAAAAACTAAAATAAATTTTTGATATTATTTATTACTATGCGATAAGTCAAGATTATTTTTTGTGTAGTCTTCTGCCCTCTGTTATCAGGTATATCTGATAGTGTACAATAGGATTTTGAGCAAAGTTTTTACCATTAAATTATGCAAAAGGTGTCAGACGGAAAACATTTCAGAAACCGTATGTATCAAATATGATACGTTTGGCATTACAGGGTTAAAAGCCCCTAAGGGGTTCAAACAATAGGTCCCCCCATTTCAACAAATGAGTTTTTTTTAGACTAGAAGAGTTCTGCCTTTTAAGACAGGAAAGTATAGGAGTTAAAGTTGCTACTTGAGAAAATACTGAACCATAGAGATAAAAATAGCCTGTGATTCAAATTATAAATTGTATTTGGAATAAAAATGAGAGAACTAGGGGTGCTAAAAAACACATCCTCCAAAGACAGATATTTACATGGGAATGTGGCAGATAATTAATTGACATATTACTGATCTTGCTGGATTTTATTCTGCTTTACTTCCATAAATTGCAGGATCTTCTTTACTTTATCTTTGCCAGAAGATTTAAACTTTAAAAGCCTTGCCCTCATAATTTGCAAGTTAATTTATTTATAAAGAAAATATAAACGCTGCTTAAGCTAATTCAAATGAAATTAAAAGTAAAATAAGTAGCCAACCTTATCACTGTCTGTAACCTACTAACACGGTAAGGAAAGCATCAGATGAGCTACCTGAGAAACTAACGTTACGTTTCCCCACTTTAAAACCAAACAAACATGGCCGCTCATCCTGCTGATCAGCTCTCATCACTGCCATCGAAGGCTCCAACGTGTTTCCTTTTCAGGTGCTGCATCATAACAGTGGTGCTTCCGTGCCATGTTCATTTGTTTTTTACAAAAGTTGCATTTTACGACTTTTTTCGCCTTACAAAGCGCAGGCTGTCTGCGAATTGAGGCGCAGCTTGCGTTTGCGGTATCAATAGAACAGTTGACGTTTCTGCCTTTTGAAAAGAGCCTTTGCTCACCTGCGGCGCTGGCTCGCTCTGCCGTATTTTTTTTTCTCCCCGCGTTTCAATCAAGTGGCAGTGATGACGACGGCGGCGGATGACGCATTGATCGCGTGACACAACTAATCGATGATGAAATTTGTTGCCAACGCTTTTAAAAGTCAATTTTTATCGATTTTATCGATTCGTTGTTGCAGCCCTACTTTAAAGTATAAGGTTCTCACCTCAAATGATCTTAAAGCGTACTTTTATAGAACGGCAACAGAAAAGATAAGTTTTACTTAATACTTTGTCCGTTCTCGGTTTTCTGTTTTTGTAATTCGCAACAGCACTAGGGCTGATGACGTTTCACGAGCACATGAGAACGCACACATACACGTATTGAGAAATGGCCAATGAATTTGTTTAGTTGTATTTTTTGTGCATAATAGATGTCATTTTTTGGCCTCTGCCTCTTCATTATAGACAGGTGACTGCAGCAGCTAGAATAGTTGGCTTTTGGAGCCGGGCGAGCTCTTGGATTGAGGCACGCATCCATATAGTTTTTGACCACTATTGATTGTTTTTCGAGTGGCATAAAAAGGAAATAAATGGGCCAATATGATCTGCCTGTCACGTCAAGTTTGTGCATCTTGAACAAGAGGAGAAAAGTTTGTCGGATAAGGATCTGAAAGATGCTTTCAAAGTTTCCCCCAGCTGATGAATCACTGAAAACCTCAACCACAGAGCGCACTTTGAAAGGAAAAGTGACAGAACTTGCCTGATCTTTGTATTGGTCAGTGTTGCGTCGTTCATCATCAACCTGCAACATCACCTCTTTGAGTTTCTTCTCCGTCCTCCTGACCAGCCTGGAGGCCTGCTGGCGCTCCCTGAAGCAGAGGTCGATCAACGTGAAGATGGGGAAACGGACAGGACTGTAAAAAGTTAGCAGACACCACTCACTTTGACTCCACGTCCAGCTGCTCTTCCAGCTGAGCGATCCGGGCCTCCAGTGAGGTGATGGAGGACTTGTACTTTGACTTGATGGTGACCTCAAGCTCCTGCAGCTTCAGTTTCAGCTCCTTGTTCTGGCGGTCCAGCTGGGAACGGTTGCCCTCCAGCCGCTGGGAATTGCTGCGCTCTGTAGACAGCTCGGTGTTGAGCTGATCATTCTGAGGTCAGAGACACGGAGGACGTACTTAGATGTGTGATAGCGATCATTAGCATCCTCCTTCTTAGAGCATCTACCGATCTTACCTGCATCATCGTTCTCTTCAGACGATCATTAACCATCTCCGTGTTCAGATGTTCCTCGTCCAGTTCTTCCTCCAGCTGAGCGATACGAGCTTCCAGCCTCCTCTTCTCATCTGACAGCAAAGAACTGCCAGGAAAAAATGGGTGTTAACGAGCTCAGAGTGATTCAGAAACGGTCCAGTTTCTGGTTCTAGACGAGTTACAAAAAACAAACTGGCTCATTTAGATAAAGAGACCATGTCTCCGGGTTCTTACTTTTTGGTATTGCTGCCGTTGACCTCATCCTGGAGCTCGTCCCGCTCGGTCTGAAGCTGTCTCTTGAGTCTGTCAGCTGTGGCCAGATCCTGATAGAAAAGGAGCAGACCTTAAGAGAATGCAGTGAGTATTCTACAGACTGCTGAAGCACACTGATTAAATTATCACTTTGCTCAATAAAAGCCAATTTCATAGCGATTATCTTGACAATACATTTTTTGATTCCTTTTGAATAATAGGATGGCAAGAAGTTCCCTAAAGAAGAACTAATAACCATTCTAAAAAAGGTAAAGCTAAAGCTATGCTACCGTTCAAAAGTTTGGGGTCACGTTGAAATGTCCTTATTTTTGAAGGAAAAGCTCTGTACTTTTCAATGAAGATAACTTTAAACTAGTCTTAACTTTAAAGAAATACACTCTATGCATTGCTAATGTGGTAAATGACTATTCTAGCTGCAAATGTCTGGTTTTTGGTGCAATATCTACATAGGTGTATAGAGGCCCATTTCCAGCAACTATCACTCCAGTGTTCTAATGGTACAATGTGTTTGCTCATTGGCTCAGAAGGCTAACTGATGATTAGAAAACCCTTGTGCAATCATGTTCACACATCTGAAAAAAGTTTAGCTCGTTACAGAAGCTACAAAACTGACCTTCCTTTGAGCAGATTGAGTTTCTGGAGCATCACATCTGTGGGGTCAATTAAACGCTAAATAGCCAGAAACATGAGAACTTTCATCTGAAACTCCACAGTCTATTCTTGTTCTTAGAAATGCAGGCTGTTCCATGTGAGAAATTGCTAAGAAATTGAAGTTTTCCTACAACGGTGTGTACTACTCCCTTCAGAGGACAGCACAAACAGGCTCTAACCAGAGCAGAAAAAGAAGTGGGAGGCCGCGTTGCACAACTGAGCAAGAAGATAAGTACATTAGAGTCCTTAGTTTGAGAAACAGATGCCTCACAGGTCCCCAACTGGCATCTTCATTAAATAGAACCCGCAAAACACCAGTGTCAACATCTACAGTGAAGAGGCGGCTGCGGGATTCTGGGCTTCAGGGCACAGAAGCAAAGAAAAAGCCATATCTGAGACTGGCCAATAAAAGAAAAAGATTAAGATGGACAAAAGAACACAGACATTGGACAGAGGAAGACTGGAATATGTATGTATATATACATATATAGTTCAATCTCTAACGTTCTGCTCTCTCTGCTTTTTCTCATAGTAGCTTCATCTGGTCTGTTCCCGTTTGGCTGTGACTCCATCCTGGAGAGAAATATCAGCTGTGCTGCTGCCATCAACACCTTTGTTTCTAGATGTTGGAGCTTGGCCTGTTTTCCAGTGTAGTCCTGTTTCTCTGACTGTGACTAACTGGATGTGCTCTCTTCATCCTCTGACATGGGAGCTGGCTCGGAGCTCGTCTGCCTGGCTGTGTGTTTCCTGGACGGGGCCGCCTGTGGAGCTGGTTGACAGTTGCCTTTTGTATCTATGCTTCTTTTTCTATGTCTGCTTCTGTCTCCTTGAACCCCAGTGGGCCTCAGCAGATGGCCGCTCACACTGAGCCTGGTTCTGCTGGAGGTTTCTTCCTGTTCAAAGGGAGTTTTTCCTCTCCACTGTTGCTACAAGCATGCTTAGTGTGAGGGATTGCTGAAGAGTCAATGAGTCGATGCAATCAGCTGGTTTTCCTTAGATAGAAAACTTTGAATCAATCTGACTGGATGATCTGGTGAACTGGAAAGTGCCTTGAATGACGTGTTGTAAATTGGCGCTATAAAAATAAACTGAAGTGAAAACTGTGTAATGCCTCTTTAAAGCGATAGATTCACCCAAAAATATTAAAGAATCACGCTAATGAATCCAGAACTAAACATATTTCTTAAAAAGAGGAAAAAATAAAGTAAAAACTGTTAATTGTTCTTGGTTCATCTCGTACCTTAAAGTTTGTGGTGGTAATCTGATGTAAAAGGGTCTAAATACTTTTGCAGAGTAACCTGAGCATTTGATAAGGGACAGTAGCTCATGCTAACGGGTAAACGGTTTTCTTAGCAGTCAGTCCGGTTCTTGAGCTGCTGGCATCGTTTGACTCGTACCTCCTGGAAGCGCAGGGCGTCTGCTTCCATGGACTTCAGCTTCCTCTCAGACTCTTTGGCCTGGTTGGCGGCTTCATCTCGGGACAAACGGAGCTCATCCAACTCCCTCAGCAGATCTTTCATCTGGATCTGGAGATCACAATAACCGAGTCAATAAATGATTCCATTCAGAACATGCGCAAAAATGAATCCATCTCAGCCACTGATCTCTATTCACTGGATTGTTGATAGCTTGAAAAAAGTGAAGCCACTGTCCGCTATGCTGATCCTCCCCACTCCCACAGAGACACACAGTAAAAATACCTACATGTGAAGCATTTGGCTGTAAAAACAAGTAGTTTGTTGGCTGTGGGAAGAAGTTCCATTGTCCTTGTTTGCATGCATACTTGTATGTATAGTTTTTTCAAATGATCGGAATGTTAAACTTGGTGTTGCTAGTGTAGAAACTGAAGCTCAGAGTTATTAAATTGGTTTATTAATTTTGCTCTATTGTAAATCTGCAAGATGTAAAGGCTAATCCACAGACACAGAATAAAAGTGGACATCATTCATGCACAATTTGCAAATAGAAAAATACTATAGAATTAACAGACATGTGCATGTAATTCAGTCTTTATGTAAAATCTTAAAATTTTATGCAAAATGTAATTACCATAACAATGTGATAAATACATGTATATTACATGTACATGGTCAATTTAGCACATCTGTATTATTATACTCCATTAACTCATAACTTTGTTATGATGGATTTGTATAATATGTTATATTACATAATTTAGAGACTTCATTGACATATCTACTTATGCTATGATACAGAAAGTGTGTGTCAAGGTGATGTATTTATCTTTATTTTAAAAGTCTTAAGCCCCCATGAAAATGAGAACATTGTTGTTGTCTGATGCTGTAGCGCACATATTGTTTATATTGCGACTGGTCTAACTAGGGAGTACCCATATGGCGGCCGGTGGCTTCACTTCAACCCCGTACTACCAACGGGCAATCAGCAATCCAGTGAAAAAATAGAGATCAGTGATCTCAGTTCACAGAACCTAAAACATGGCTGCCTTCTCTACCTGGAGCTTCTTCAGCTGCTTCAGAGCGTCATCCCGACCTTTGTTAGCAGAATCGATCTGTGCTTCCAGCTCTGCCAGATCCATCTCCAGTTTCTTTTTGGAGGAGAGGGCCTGGGTACGCTGTCTGCGTTCGTCCTCCAGCTCAAGCTCCATTTCGCGCACCTTTGAGAACAAGAGAAGTTTCAATCACAACATCACATGTAAGAATGAAGGAAGACGTTAGCTGTGGTTTCCGGCCTTCCACCTGTTTGACGAGCTGCTTCCTCCTCTCCTCTCCCTGCTCGTCTCGGCCCTGCAGGTCTCGATCGAACTGGGCCTTCATGGCCTGCATGTTGACCTCCAGACGCAGCTTGGCGTCCTCTGTGAGCTGCAGCTCGTCCTCCAGCTCCTCCAGCTGAAGCCTCATCTCCTCCAGCTGCTGCTCCATGGCCCGCTTCGACCTCTCCAGCTCATGAACCTGTAGATTTGTTGCACTGGTTTTATCTAAACCTTCAGCCCTCATTAGAAGCAGTTTAAATCCAGCCAATCCTTGGTAGCCATACCAAAAAAAGTTAAACAATCCGCTGGACTTTGTTTCCAAGTTTGAAGACGTTTCGCTTCCCATCCAGGAAGCTTTTGCAATTCAAAATGCCAGAAATAGCGTCAAGTTCAAGGCTTAGAGTGGAACAAAAACAAAGCCTTGTTTTTGTTTAGAAAACATGCAAATTGAAACGGATGAATGGGTCCGCCCCTTTCGAATGGGGGTCGTTTTTTTGAGTGGCATAAAAAGGAAATAAACGAGCCGATATGATCTGCCTGTCACGTCAAGTTTCTTTTTGGATTAAAAAAAAAAGCGTCTCGAACAAGAGGAGAAAAGTTTGTTGGATTGCATGGTCACTTTAAAAAACTTTTGACGGAGCTGAAGTGAGTCGAACTTGGATGCTTCTGAAACGAGAGCCGCGTGCAACTTTATTAGAAGGATTGCGCTAAAAGGGGTCGTTTGGCTTCTTTTGTTAGCCTGCAATATCCGTAACCTGTCTCTGAAAGGGGGTCGTTAAAGGGAATTGTTGGCCTGGCTGAATAGGCGAGGTCTTCTGTTCCCCTGTAATGGGGTTGCGATGATAGCGGGAAGGGAACACCTCCATTGGTGCATTGTGGGTTTTTGAATCCCCCCTTCTGTTTAAATTCGTAGGGAAATCATATTCAAATGTAAAATCATTCTGGCTTAAACATGTATATAAATGTATTCTTTATCAGACTATATTGTCCAAAAATGTAGAAAAATTATATTGAAAATATCCTGTCTTAAAATCTGTGTTTTTTTCCTTCCATATCTTCTGCAGGCCAGTTAGTTCTACGTCAGCCTGAACACCTAAATTCAGCCAATCATATATCAACTGTCAATCAAATGTTTTCGGTCATAGCATCTTGATTCGTCGCAGCTAATATACGCAACGGTTGAAACCAGAATCCTTTCCTTTCCCATTGAGTTGCGTCCCAGTGTTCACGGGGATGGACGTCTGTGTCTTCGGCAGGCGTAGAGCTAACAGAACTGGCAGCGTTGCGAGGCAAGGGCTCAAACATGTACGGCTGGAAGCCTTCTACACCAAACCAAGCTTCTGCCGCCCTGGCGTCCTCTTCCACAACATCTTCGTCCCCGCTTTCCTCCTCTACATAAAAAATGGATGACGGAGGAGACTCATCCACGACCTCCGACACTAAACTCTCCTCCTCTTGCATGTTTCCGCTGTCCATAGCGTTCCTTGACAGCGTCGTTTCTAAGTCACCAATTTAGTGCTACTTGGTCCCAATGGAATTTCCCACTGGGAACCTGCTAGCACTAAGTTGCTAACTGGTTAGCAAGATGCTTCCGACAAACCGGCTACAACCAAACTTGCTTGCGAACCTTCTGCCACAACAATCCCGCCCCCTTGATAAACGACCAATTCTCTACGACTTTTAAGGTCGGTTTTTCTTTCTTAACATAGATGGCTTCCTTCACACCCCTCTCAAACCACTCGTCTTCTTTTTCCAAAATGTGAACATTCTGGTCCTCCAAAGAATGTCCTTTGTCCATCAGGTGTAGATGTACCGCAGAGTCTTGTCCAGAGGAGGGCGCTCTTCTGTGTCTGTGGAGAGGTTATTTGGTTTCTCCAATGTAAAGATCAGAGCATTGCTCTCTGCATTGAGCTGCAGACACCACTCCGCTCATATTTGGTCTGAGGGTTTTGTCCTTAGGATGCACTTTTCTTTGGTCCACGCTATAAAGCCTTGAACTCAACGATATTTCTGACATTTTGAAGTGAAAAAGCTTCCTGGATGGGAAGCGAAACGTCTTCAAGCTTTGAAAAAAAGTCCAGCGGATTGTTTTTTTAAACTTTTTTTGGAATGACCATGACCTGGATGACAGAGAGTCTTCACCTGCACTTTGAAGCCATACTTACGTTTTTGCCGACGTCATCTTTGGAGGAGACCAGGTCCTCCATCTCAGCTTTGAACATTTTGTTGGAGCGATCCAGGTCCTCCTTCAGGGCCGTCATGGTCTCAAGCTCACGGGCCAGGTTGAGCGCACGCGTCTCCTTCTCCCGGGCTTCAGCCTCTGCTTTGTCTCGTTCCTCAGCATACTGAGTGGAAATCGCCTTCTCCTCTGCCAGCATCTAAGAAAGTAAAGATCAACCAAACATGGTTAGGCTTTTATAGAAACCCAAGCAGACAAAGTCTAAAGTTTACCAGTCCTTCAGCAGGCTACCTGATCAAACTTCTTCTGCTTCCTCTCCAGGTTGGAGACGATCTGCCTCAGATTGTCCTGGTCCACCAGCATGTCATCCAGCTCCTGCTGCACACGGGTTTTTGTCTTGTCCAGCTTGTCGTAGGCGGCGCTCTTCTCCTCCAGTTGCAGCATCAGTTCGTCCATCTCCCTCTGCAGCTTCTTGCGGCCCTCCTCTGCGCCCTCCAGCGATATGGCCTCTTGTTCCGCCTTCTTCTTCATCTCTGCCAGCTGAAGGATTTTGAAAAAAAATTAACATTTAGGCCCTGGTTTGTCTCTGGGTTCTTATAAACCATCAGACTCTGATCATCATGAGGAGCTCCGTGCAAACGCCGCGGACCAACCTGGGCCTGCAGAGCAGCAACCTGCTTCTCCACGTTCCTCTTGCCCTCTTCCTCTTCGTCCAACATCTCCTGCAGATTGTTCTGTTCCTCCTCCATCTGCTTCAGGCGGGAGGTGAGGGTGAGCTTCTGACGGGTCTCCTCCTGGAGCAGCTCCTGGAGTTCAGCAAAATTCAACAAGTTCAGAAATGTGACGACTTTCCAGGATCTTGCAGGACTCTTCCCACTGTCCTTCACAGTCATCACATTTAAAACATGGGAAGATAAAATACTAGCAGCATGGCCCGTTTGATAACAGCTTACAGACATATAATATTAGTCTTGGCGTTTAAAAGGGAGAAGCTCCCGAGATAAGGAAGTTATTGATAAGGGAATACATAAATACATCTAGATCAGGGGTGGGCAACCCGTCGCTCCAGAGCCACATGCAGCTCGTTAACACCCCCTTGTGGCTCCCTGGAGCCTTTTCAAAACTGTAAGACAATAAAAAAAACTTGTGTTGGTTTGTTTTAAAGGCATACTATGCAACATTTTTCAGTTAATTAATGTGTTCCATAACGTTTTGGATGATTAAATGAGTCATTTCAGGTCGAACAAAGGTTTTCTCGGCCGCCCTGGTGGTCTGTGGGGGAATTACCGTACTTGGCCCGCACCCACAGGCTCAGAACACTAAGCTCACTTAGCTGATTGCTCCTTCCTGTGTTTCCAAAAAGGCCAAAGTAAATAACCCAGTCCTTCTTTTCACTGTAGACAAGCCATGATCTGCTTATCTGTTCTCCATTTTTCATTTGGATGAAATAATAGCTGCATGAATCATGACAGCAGACAAGATAGAGGAGAGCAGGAGGCGGGGTTACCAATCTACTCGCTCTGGAGAGCAGAGTTCGCTGCTTTTAGATGTTGTCTCCAAAGTCTCCAGTAGCAGAAAAAAGTCTCTAGATTTGGCGCTAGGAGCTTTTTAGAAATCAAAGTGCTAGAGGGGTCTGAAAAGTGGCTAAATATAACGACTAAAGCGCTAAGTTGGCAACACTGCTCTTTGCATGGTTTGTTTTCAAATGGTTTGCTGCTGTCTGTTTGGACCTTTCTGAACATGTGCAGCAAATGGACTGATCCAATATGGTGGACACTGAAGGGGGGGGGGCGAGACACACTTATAAGTAACTCATGGCATTTTAGTGAAAGGATTTTTATCAAAAACATAATTAATGTGCACAAATTTGGAATAGTTGTAATAACCATGCCTGTAAACAGTTTTATGGGGCCCCCAGGAACTTGGGGCCCTCGGCAACTATCTAATGGTAAATCCCCCCCTGCTTATTATATATTTAAGCCCACATTGTCCTTTATTATAGTGGGCTTAGAGCCCGTGTTGCGATATGAGGCGTGTAGAAGATTTTTACATTTTTGAGGCTCCAGACAGGATTTGGTTTTTTATTTTTTTGGTCCTATATTGCTCTGAACAGTTTGGGTAGCCGACCCCTGGTCTAGACTATTGACGTGCGAATGAAAAGTTTTCTCTGGTCTTAAATTGGCAGACCCCCCTCAGACGTACCTGTGTGTCCTGCAGCTGAGACTCCACAGTGGACAGGTCCTTGCTGGATTTGATGTTCTTGCCCTCTGCTTCGCTCAGAAGGCTGTTCACGCCGTCCAGCTCGCTCTGAGATCAAGAAAACACAATTTACTTTTCCCAATTTAAAACAAACATCTGCATTAGAAGCTGGTTTGACCCCCTCCTCCCTGTTGGAGTTATTCAGATTCCTACCTGCATCTTTGTCAGCTTATCAGACAGATCCTGTCTCTGTCGCTCACTTTCAGTAAATTTGATCTGCAGCTCTTGGACCTGAGCCTCAGCCTTCTTGCGGCGGTGTTCTGAGTCTCCTTTGCTTGTGGTCAGAGTCTGCAATTCGATCTGCAGCTCGTTCCACTCGCTCTCGAGGGCCTGCTTGGCCTTTTCGATGGACATCTTGTTCTATAGGGGCGACACGGCAGTTTAATTATGGTGGTTTGTTTCTACAGGTTTGGCCTCAGCCTTCCAAAGACTTCCCCTCAGCCTGCTCCATCCCTCACCCTCTTGGCCTGGTCCAGCTGTTCATTAAGCTCGTCGAACGCCTGGTTGTGTTTCTGTCTCATGTCGGCCATCTGCTGCTCATGAGCTTTGGCTTCCTCTTCTAGAGTCTTCTTCAGCTGAGCAACTTCGCTCTCACGCTTGGCCCTAAAAAAGAAAAACAACAAATCTTTATTTAAACCTTTTATGTCTTCTGTTTCTCATAGTAGCTTCCTCTGGACTGTTCCCGTTTGGCATCCTTGTCATCCATGCACACAAATACAGCGTTTTGCTCTCTGGTTCTGCTGCTATAGGCTCAGACTGCTGGAGGACATAGGGACCCTTTTTCATCATTCTGCTTCACTCTCTCTCTAGGGCTGGGTATTGTTCAAAGATTTTCGGTTCCGGTACCAATACCGATACCTTCACTTCGATACCGGTTCCTGATCGATACTTTTTTAGATACCAGTTTTATAATATCAATTGGAAGAAAAAGAAAATTACACAACATAAAAAAGTACAAATCTTGAGTTTTATTTTAAGCTCTGATTTTTCCATTTACATTTTTCCTCTTACATAAAAGAAAAATCAGTGTCTAATATTCACTGTTACATTGTGAGAACCTTTTTACTTAGCAGTTTTCCTTTAGAAAAATTACCATGTCTGACAAACAAGCCCGTTGAATGGGATCCTACTGACAGCGCACCGCTGGTATGGGGGGGTCTGAGCGGCTCCGACAGAAATAATGGAAGGCAGGATTGTAATCTGGAGGAACTGACTGCACTGATTAAGTTTTCAGGTGGATCTTCCCACTTAAAAACATAATAAAACTACTTTATTCCCACTGATCACAGCAAATATAGCTGCAAGGCAAAGAAAGGATAGAGTAGCTCCGCCCAACGCGCGTCAGACACACTTTTCGACCGCGCAGCCAGAGCAGCAAAGCTGCTTTAGCCGCGCGTCAGAAGCTGGTACAAGCAGCAAAAATGAAGCAGCAGACGTGATTTTGCTGCTCCTGCGGCGTCCGGTGTGAAAGCAGCATGATTCACTCCGCTGTGGCTTTGCTCCGCCCACCGGCTGCCAGGAGGAGGATGGTCGCGCCGGCTGCGGTCCGCTCTTCTTGCAGTCAAACACCGAGCAACTTTCTGCTCTTAAATTGTTTCCGTGCACGATGTGTTGCATTGCGCACTATTGGCATCAGTCTTAATAAAGTGAAGCCGCACTTTTGACCTGGGGGGCATTTTAAAGGGGTTCCATGACGCTCGCAACCAGTTCACAACAGATACACATGAACCCTGGCTGTAGGCGGGACCACCTGTGTATTTTTCCTGGATGACGCAATCACGTTAAGTGTTACAGCCAATCACCGAAACTTGGTACCGAAAGACGAGGCATGTTTCGATACTCTGTAGAACCGAAGCATTTCAGTCGGTACCATAAAAGAACCGAAGTTCGGTACCCAGCCCTATCTCTCTCTATTCTCCCACTCTGCAGAATCTGTTAGTTCAATCTCTAACGTTCTGCTCTCTCTGCTTTTTCTCATAGTAGCTTCATCTGGTCTGTTCCTGTTTGGCTGTGACTCCATCCTGGAGAGAAATATCAGCTGTGCTGCTGCCATCAACACCTTTGTTTCTAGATGTTGGAGATCAGCCTGTTTTTCAGTGTAGTCCTGTTTCTCTGACTGTGACTAACTGGATGTGCTCTCTTCATCCTCTGACATGGGAGCTGGCTCGGAGCTCGTCTGCCTGGCTGTGACACTGAGCCTGGTTCTGCTGGAGTTTTCTTCCTGTTAAAAGGGAGTCTTTCCTCTCCACTGTTGCTACAAGCATGCCTTGAGATGACATGTGTTGTGAATTGGCGCTATAGAAATAAACTGAATTAAACTGTAAAATTAGAGAAGGTTTTATCCGAGCAGTCATTACCTGAGCTCTACATGTGCTGCGGTGGAATCCAGGGTGTCCTCCAGCTCCGTCTTTAGCGCCTCCAGCTCCTCTCCCAGATCCCTGCGTTGTTTCTCCGCCTTGGACCGCGCCTGCCTCTCCAGCTCCAGGTCCTCCTGCAGCTCAGAGATCTGCGCCTCCAGCTCCCTGATTTTCTTCTGGGCCGTGTTCTTTGCTGCAGCCTCCTCCTCGATCCTGATTTTTTATTTTTATTTTTTCAAAGTACCGTCACTCTAATTGTTCATAGGAATCGAGTAAAGCCCGAGTAAAAGCTTAGCCTTTGGTCTAACCTGGCTAGTGCGGCGAGGAGCTCCTCCTCCTTCTTGGCCAGCTGAGCCCGGAGCTCGGCGATTTGGGCCTGCAGGTCGGCGATCTGGTCGTTGAGCTCCGTGGAGTCTCCCTCCAGTTTACGGCGGTTTTTCTCCAGCTCCTGGCGCAGCTTCTCCTCCTTCCTCAAACGATCTGTTTGGAAAAGATAAAAATGTCACCTAAAAACAAGAACAAACTGACATAGAACATTTAAAAATAGACCAAACACTTGCCTTCTAAATCAGTGATCATGGTTTCATGTTTGTTCTTGAGCTTCTGCAAGCTTTTGGACTTCTCCTCCTCTTCAGCCAGATTTATGGTGAACTCTGAGATCCTCTCCTCCAGCAGCTTCTTTTCCTGCAGTTACCAATAAATACATAGTGTTCACTGGAAAAATTATCCGGAAATAAGTAAAAAATCTTTAAATTAAGTGTAATTGTATTTGATTTGTATAGGTAAATGGGATAATTTGCCAATGGAGTGAGTATCTTTATTCTTAAAATAAGATAATTAGAGAATATGCACTGGAAATAGGACAATGCGGTTGTCTTGTTCCATTGGCAAAATGTCATTTTTATCTCAATTCAAGAGCAAATGCAGATTCCAAAAAAGTAAAAGAAATCCACTGGACTTTGTTTCCAAGTTTGAAGACGTTTCTCTTCCCATCCAGGAAGCTTTTTCAATTAAAAATGGGTCCGCTGCTTTGGAATGGGGGTCGTTATATTTCTTTGTTAGCCTGTAATACCTGAAACCTGTCCATGTCTCTCAAACCACTTTACAGATGAACAGAAGGCCTTGCCTATTCAGCCAGGCCAACAATTCCCTTTAAAAAAAAAGCACTTTCAGAGACAGACAGGTTTCGGGTATTTCAGGCTACCAAAGAAACCAAACGACCCCCGTTCCAAAGAAGCGGACCCGGTCGTCAGAAATATGCATGTTTTCTAGGCCAAAACAAGGCTTTGCTTTGGTCCACTCTATAAAACCTGGAACTCAACTCTATTTCTGACATTTTGAATTGAAAAATCTTCCTGGATGGAAGAGAAACGTCTTCAAACTTGGAAACAAAGTCCAGTGGGTTTTTTTTTTTTACTTGTTTGGAACAACTATGACCTTATCTGCAATAAATGCACTTATTCTAAGAAAAGATGACTTATCTAGATTTTGTTTTTTTCCCGGTGAGAAAAACTCACTGCAAAATGAGTAAAAAAAGTCTTAAATTAAGGGTATTTACCCTTAATTTGAGCAGGTAAATAAGATGATTTGCCAATGGAATGAGTATTTTTACTCTTAAAATAAGGTATCTAGATAAAATGCACTTGAAACAAGACAATGCAATTGTTTTTTCTTATTTTAAGTGTAAATTGTCTTGTTCCATTGGTAAAGTGTCTCACTTAAATCCTTAATTTGAGAAAAAATGCACTTATTTTAAGAAAAAAATTACTAAAATGCTCTCGTTTTAGTTGCCATGTTGTAAAGCGAGTGAAACGTTTCCTAGGAAACCTTGTTAAGTTTGCCGTTCTGATCATCCAACAAGATGATGTCCTCCTCCAGTTTCTTCAGCTTGGCGTCTGTGGTGACCTTCTCCATCTGAAGCTTTTGTCTGGCTGCTTCCTCCTCGTCGAGCTGCTGCTCTAAATCCTGCAGGAGCAAAACCAAACCTCCAAAAGTCAATGCTTAGAAATGCATAGAAAAAAGAAATATTAATGAATGCCAGGGATTGACTTTCTGTCTATAACGTCACAAACCGTGATGTTCTGCTGCATCTTTTTTCTCTCATTGTGCATCTGATTGACCCTCTCCTCCTCTTCCTCCAGCCGAGTCTCCATTTCCATCAGGATCTCCTCCAGCTCCTGCTTCCTCGTAGCCAGACGGGCTCTCAGCTCCTCAGCCTCTGCACAAAGCTCCGTCTCGGCCTGCAGCTGCTCCTGAAGGGCCTGCTTCTCTGCGCTCAGCTGGGAGGAACAGTCGGAACTCCGTTAAAGGCTTATAGACTTTTCTTAGAAAAAAAAAATAAAGAAATTCACAGAGACTCACCTGTTGCTGCTTCGCCTCGTATTCTTTGAGCTGCTCCTCCGCCTGGATTTGTTTCTCCTTCACCTTGAGCAGCTCCTCCTCCTTGGCGATCATCTCCTCCTCCTGCCGAGACACCTGGAGAAGAGGCTTAACCTGAAAGGAAAAAAAAAATGAAACCAAATTAGTACAAGTTTACATCACATGTTTCTAAATATTCTAGTTAATTTCTCCACATCTTCATCCAAATTTAATAAAACAGCAGGTTTCTTCCTAGTTGGTTTTAAATTACTTTCAGGAGCGTTAAAACTGACTTCAACAAAAATTTAAGATCTTTCAAAGACTTTTTTCTCTCCTTATTCCTGATTTTGGGAACTTGATTACTCAATTTTTTTTAAGCACCAAATAAAATCAGGCTGCTAAAAAAGGAGGATCCAGCATCACCAATGCCATCAGGGAATACATGTTAAAAAGTTAGATCTTTTCCAAAAAAAGTAAATTCAAAATGTAAGAAATAGCGCTGAGATCGAGTCTTTATACAGTAGCCCAACAAAGCCTTGTCTTTGCTTAAGCCGGGCATATAACCTATGATTTTTTCAATCATTGCACGCAGCTACAGCTCACACTATACGACGAAACTGCAGGGTTTAAAAGTTCACGGCTCACGAGGTTTGTTCTCACGATGTGCGATCCGACACTTAGATGCGATCTATCTGCTTATGCTGTACGTTTAAAAACCACATGGCACTCAGCTCCGCAGTGAGATGGCGCTACTCGGACTCGTCTATCTGGAAGCCAAATGAGAAGAAGAGGAACATGAAGCTCACTAGACTAAAAACGCGCTGCCATGGCAAATTGTGCAATTTTGTGCTGAAAGCCCTAAAAAGAAGAAAAGAAGACGACATATTTGGACAAAGACCTGGCTGAGCAAACATGGCTGCTACGGTCTGTCAATTTTACAGACAGAACTGCATTTTACTCGCACCCCCGCCATGATTCTGGGTTTTCATCTCAGAGAAAGAAGAAGATTCCTTGTTTGCACAATTCACTGTACTTTGTTTCCAAGTTTGAAGACGTTTCGTTTCCCATCCAGGAAGCTTTTTCAAGTCAAAATGTCAGAATTAGCGTTGAGTTCCAGGGTTTATATAGTAGACCAAAAACTTGTTTTGGCTTAGAAAACAGATACATGGCTCAAAACAGAAGAGCGCCCTCCTCTGGACAAGACTCTGTGGTTCATCTACACCTTATGGACAAAGGACATTCTTTAGAAGTGGCCCTCAGCCTTAAAAAGGTTGGTGACCCCTGCTTTAGAGGACCAGAATGTTCACATTTTGGACAAAGAAGACAGGTGGTTTGAGAGGGGTTTGAAGGAAGCCATCTATGCTATTTCAGCTTTCATAAAACCTACAATGCGGCCATAGAGTTGATCCCTTCCCACTATCATCGCACAAAGCCTTATTTGGGCTTAGAAAACATTTTTCTACAAGGCTTTGCTTTTGGTCCACTCTATAAAACCTGGAACTCAACGCTATTTCGGACATTTTGAATTGAAAAAGATTCCTGGATGGGAAGCGAAACGTCTTCAAACTTGGAAACAAAGTCCAGTGGATTGCTTAACATTTATGGAGTTTTAATGAGTCTGACTATTTCAAAAAAAAAAAAAAAAAAAAAAGAAATTAAGCTTCTTAATAAATATTCTGGTAGCTGGTTATTAAAGGATAATTCCGGTTTTTAACACTTTTAGCCCATTTTCTGTAGTGTCCAGGATGAAATCGAATGATCGACACCAAAATTTTGACAATTGGTCCTGTCTCTGCTTTTTGGCTCATGCAGAATCCCCCCCTGGCTGCTTCAGAATGGCTTTCATTGTGCATGTCCGATAATGTCCTTAAAACAACCTTAAACGTTCTTTTTTTAAAATATGCTACTCACCGGGTCGTCAGCGCTGTTCAATGACGTTCCAAAAAAAGTTTCGTGAAGAAAAACCGTTCCTGTCTTGTTTTATTTAGCATTTTGTAAATCCCAGAACTATTTTTTCCGATACATCACAACCGCTTATAAACTTCCGCTTCCCGTTCGAATCTGAAGCGTTGCACACTCCAGACCACTAGTTGGCGACGGTATCCTCTACCGTCAAACTCAAAGTCCAATATGTCCTCCTCAAGAATCCACCTTTCGTATTCCATTTTCAGAGTTTTTTAAAGTGTTTAACAGAGACGTTAGCACCTCGACGTCGGAGTACACAGAGTGAAGCAGAAACACTTGGGCCTTGCGAAAAGACTACAACTAAGCGTAAACAGGCCCCATTTCCGTTTCCGGTGGCGGAGGGATATTGACTATTCCAACAGAACTCAATGGGATTTACAAAATGCTAAATAAAACAAGACAGGAACGTTTTTTCTTTACGAAACTTTTTTTGGAACGTCATTGAACAGCGCTGACGACCCGGTGAGTAGCATATTTAAAAAAAAATAACGTTTAAGGTTGTTTTAAGGACATTATCGGACATGCACTATGGAAGCCATTCTGAAGCAGCCAGGGGGGGATTCTGCATGAGCCAAATAGCAGAGACAGGACCAATTGTCAAAATTTTGGTGTCGATCATTCGATTTCATCCTGGACACTACAGAAAATGGGCTAAAAGTGTTAAAAACCGGAATTATCCTTTAATAGGTTTTTTTTCATTTTGCTCTAGTTTTAGGGGCTGGAATGTGACCACTTTGAAAAGAAAATAATTATTCCATCTTTAAACTAATAACCACACCTAACAGCTGACATGATAATCTCCTCCTTGTCTGCATGAACCATTTTCCCAGCATTTAGTTAACCCTTTAAAGCCTGATCCAAGAATAAAACAAAACAGAAAATTACTTTTTTTTTTGGTTTGAATTCCTTATTTGCTACGGAAGAGGATTAGGGCCACTGGAAGAAAAAAAATTAATAAATAAAAAAAAATAAAAAAGTAAACTGATTTTTAAATTTTATTTCAGTTTAATATTTTTTGACTTTTGAATTTTGACTTTTTTCCTCAGAATTTTGACTTTTTTTCTCAGAATCTTGACTTTTTTCCTCAGAATTCTGACTTTTTTCCTCAGAATTCTGACTTTTTTCCTCAGAATTCTGACTTTTTTCCTCAGAATTCTGACTTTTTTCCTCAGAATTCTGACTTTTTTCCTCAGAATTCTGACTTTTTTTCTCAGAATTCTGACTTTTTTTCCTCAGAATTCTGACTTTTTTTCTCAGAATTCTGACTTTGATAAAAAAAATCAGTTAACTTTTTTTTTTTTTTTTCCAGTGGCCCTAATCCTCTTCCGTAATTTGGCCTTTTAACAAAATATGTAAAAAGAAAAAACAGAAATACATTTTTGATATTAATAATTTATTACTGTGCGATACGTCAAGATTATTTTTTGTGTAGTCTTCTACCCTTCTGTTATCAGGTATATCTGATTGTGTACAATAGGATTTTGAGGAAAGTTTTTACCAATAAATTATGCAAAAGGTGTCAGACGCAAAACATTTCAGAAACCGTATGTATCAAAAATGATACATTTGGCATTAAAGGGTTAAAGTTGTGGTTATATTTATCCATAAACATGCCTTTTAAAATATATATGCTTTCTGAGAGAAAAAAAATATTTGAAATATTGGAGTAAATAAATGATCTAAAACCAGAAGATGGAAGCTACAGTCCAGGAGGACGTACCGGTGGAATGACATTGGACCACCTTGAACAGTTTCCACTGAGCTCACCTTGGTGAAAAGCCTCCACCACTGCCAGTTCCTGAGTTTGAGGTAAGCGGCACAGTTTCGCTGGATGACTCTCATGGCGGTCAGCTGCTGCTGTCTCTTAGCAAAGGCTCTGAATCGGAACAGAAACACGAACCGACCGATTAGCGTTACTTAAAAAGCAAACAAAACAAATTAAGTTTGCACAGTGCGGCTAATGTGTTAAAGGTGTAGTGGAGGATGTTCTTTTTCCGGGTGGATCATCAAAATAAGTGGTCGTCCTAATTGTCAATCATTCTGGCGGGATGTTTACGTATGGGCTCATGCACGCTCTAGCACGCGTTTAATAGACGTTCCCTCCTGGGAGTGGGTACAGGGTTGTGCATGTGCATTTTTTATTTTTTTTAAACTTTGCAAAAATCCTCCACTATACCTTTAAATGTATGGTGGAGGATTTTTGTGAATTTTAAAAAAGACCCGCCCTCTCCACTTTTCTCCACGTGCACGCTCTGTTTAAAAGCTGCTGTTCTAATAGTTCATACAAGCTTACTGTTTCTGAACGTCCACCTTAACCCCTAAATCCCTCAGTCACTATATAGAGCGGCGACTATATAGTTGAGTATATGAGTGAACTCAGTTAACTGACCATTCGGACACACGATCGCAACTTTTTGCTCCCCGTTGGTCATGTAACTCCGCCTCCCTGCGCAGTGCCTGCGCCATCTCTGTTATTAGTCGCTACTGTCGGGTAATGACAGCCTATGGCGACAGGGGGCCGCTGTGACGGCAAATCCCAAAATGCTTTGCGAAGAGAGTACTCTACGCAAAGCATTCTGGGATATATCTGCCTCTTTTGAGGCCTTTTTCTACTTCGTAGACACTCCTCTTCCGACCCTCTGCCAATTTTCAAAGAACCGCGGTGAGCTTCGATGATTGAACGTAGCGCACCACAGATACACGCCTGAAAGTGCGCATGCACGGAAAAATATAGCTAACGGGACGAGCACGAAGGACGGCCTTACGTAAACAGATCACCAGAATGATTGACACTTGGGAGGACCATTTATTAGGATGATCCATCCGAAAAATAAAAGATTTCCCCATCTTTCTTACTTCCGGGCTACATATCCTCTGCACCAGGCCTGGAAGCTCATGATAACGTCGGTGATCTTCATGTCCCTCTCCTCCTCCAGGTGGGCCAAGACTCCAGCTCGGAAGAACACTTTGCTCTGACCGACGCGGTACAGGTTGGGGTCCAGCTCTAAGGCTTTGATCTGTTAGAAACGGGACGTTCTGAGTGTGAGATGACGGGACATTTCTATAAACTGCTGATCCCTGAAACTAAATACATTACCATGAGCACACAGGCCTGCTTTCCATCCATGAAGCCCTTTGGAATAGCATTTGGAGTGAGAATTTCATATCTGAAACGCATAAAGGAACCAGAGTCACATTAAATGCATAGTGACAGTTTCAGGATTCGGGATTCTTCCTAAATGTCACAGACTTGGACTCTGTTTGGTTTTTAGCCTAATCCTGCACAACTAAACAGAACAATTATAAATTAGTTTATTTCTATAGCGCCAATTCACATCATGTCATCTCAGGTCACTTTCCAGTTCACCAGATCATCAGTCAGATTGATTCAAAGTTTTCTATCTAAGGAAAACCAGCTGATTGCATCGACTCATTGACTCTTCAGCAATCCCTCACACTAACCATGCTTGTAGCGACAGTGGAGAGGAAAAACTCCCTTTGAACAGGAAGAAACCTCCAGCAGAACCAGGCTCAGTGTGAGCGGCCATCTGCTGAGGCCCACTGGGGTTCAAGGAGACAGAAGCAGACATAGAAAAAGAAGCATAGATACAAAAGGCAGCTGTAAAAGGCGGCCCCGTCCAGGAAACACACAGCCAGGCAGACGAGCTCCGAGCCAGCTCCCATGTCAGAGGATGAAGAGAGCACATCCAGTTAGTCACAGTCAGAGAAACAGGACTACACTGGAAAACAGGCCAAGCTCCAACATCTAAAAACAAAGGTGTTGATGGCAGCAGCACAGCGGATATTTCTCTCCAGGATGGAGTCACAGCCAAACAGGAACAGACCAGATGAAGCTACTATGAGAAAAAGCAGTATTTCCACCCTAGGGCGCAAAACTCTTTGTATTATAGGGGAGCTACTGCACATGTAAAACTTTTAAGAAGAGTCAATGGGCAAAGGTAAAGGAAAATTTGATGACAGGAAATGCATTTGCTAACCACCTCCGGCCACAGCGCAGATATTTTGCGCGCAAGAGCCAGAGACAGAACAATAAACGTCCTTTTTCCAGGATCTGGTTTAACAGCAAGGCTTAGCTAACTGCATGCAGCTAGGCTAAGGCTTTATTCTTTCCCTGCCTCCTTTTTCAGTCGTCAGGATGTGAGTCAGCATGGATAAAGACAGCTAGGACTGATTTAAAGCACTTTTTAGAAAAGGCAAAGAAGAATTAACAATCTGGGATTCACATGGGAAATAATAGAATCTAGGCAACTTTTTCTAGACGCTGGTTCATTTGCATTGCTGCTCATAAACACATCAGAAAATTGTTTATATATAAAAAACAAAGCTGACCAATAGCTTCTCAATTATTAAACTGGTACATTAGTTTTTTTTTAGGTTTGTGACACAATATTGGAGCATGCAGAACACAGGTTTACCTTCACAAAGCCTCAGAAGCTTGTATACAAAAAGCAAACCTGTACATGAAATTATGTTTTTGTTTTTATAAAGCATTTTTCCAATGTTTTTTGTTGTTGGCATTCATATAAATATGCTAGTGTGATAACTTAGTATACGTCTGTTTTGAATTTATAGCCCCCCCCCAGAGAAAACTCCACCAGCCGCCACTGGTGACCAGTCCAAATATTCATCATGCATTTAGAAAGTGTCACCTCTGTCTAAACTCCTGGAAGACGATCCGGTTAGGGAAGCCCTGTCTGCAGATACGGATTCCCTCCAAGACTCCGTTACACCTCAGCTGGTCCAGAACGAGGTGAGACTCAAGCTTACCAGACTGAGGAGAAAAAAAAAAAAAGATTGGACATAGATCTGTGTTTTTCAAGTCATGTCATTTTAGCAAGACATCTGGTAAGTTCCTAAAACAGCGTCATACCTTCTTCTCGTGGTTGGGAATGATGCAGCGCACAAAGTTAGGGTTGGTGTTCCTCAGGGTGGTCATGAGGTTCCCCAGCTGCTCCTTGTACAGCTGTCCAACTGTGCGGAACATGCCTTTACGGGTCCTGAAGGGGCCAGAGTCTGACATTCCTGCCACCTTATCCAGGCCGACGATGTGGTTCACTGGGATCCACAAATAAAGAAAATTAACACTTTTAATTTCTGCTCTTTATAAAGGAACAAATACAGCAAACTGGTAAATAGATCAACTACTAAGGAAGGACGTATCTGCTTAACAGACATGTTGGTTATAAGATTAGATGGACTATAAACTAGACGTTAAATGTGTAAAACAAGTAAAAATAGATTTAAGGCGACCATTTCCTTCACTGTACACCAATAACTATGTAATAACATTGTTGGGTTCAAAGAAATGTGAGTTAATAGAGGACGAAAAGATCAGACACAGACAGGGATTTGCAACAACAGCCTCTGCAGGAGGGAGAAGAACTGCTAGCTCACAACCAGCACCTTTTCTCACTGCTCCCTTCCCAGTAGAGCCTTTATTAATAGATTATAACATAATAGGGTGGGTTTTAAAACAGAAGATCCTGTAAGGATTATCTGTTTTTAAGTCTGTAAAAAAGAAGTTTTTGAGGAAGAAGAAGAAGTAGTATTTATTTTTTATTTTTTTTAGACTTTAGAAACTCAGAAGCTGATCAAATATCGGGTGAAATATCGGTGGGGTGGCCGATGTCCGATATTCAGTTTTAAAGCCGATACCGATAGGGGGCCGATTATATCCTGCATCCCTACTAATTACTTTAAAATTATATACCTTAATTTTGTGGTAATTACCAAATAAAGTTTTTGTTGTTACCAAGTATAATATATTGTGACTGACTTGTCATGTTTTTACTTTGTTATTTGTGTACTGTAAAACAAGCGTTACTGAATAATAGTTTATATATGTTGCATATGAAGCTGTAAAGGGGAGTCTTTAGTAAAATTATTATAAAATTGAACTGAACAGTTGTAAAGCGGGGGGAATTAAGGACCTGCTCAGCTCTTCTACAGCAGCTGTTGCATTTAAAGTAATCAGTTACTCCTTCAGTTTAGACACAGAATTTTTTTTATTTTTTTTTAAAATAAGCCAACTGACTGGCAGTGTGCAGCAACAGGTGGTGGTGGTTCAGTACAGCATTACTCCGTATAACCAATCTAATTTATACCATTATAAACATGGAAGATCCTGGAGGTTTTCTGCTAACCGCTAATGCAGCCTCATCCTTGCGCTTTAACATTTTTCCCTTTAGTAGAGAGTCTTTAAAAGCAAACGGCTGATTCTGCACAGCGCTGATCACCGCTTACCGTCTCTCCACAGGTCGGCAATCAGCTTGTCGGTGGACTGGTTCAGCAGGGTGGCCACACACTCGTTCAGGGGGTCCATATTTTTCATCAGCCACTCATTTGCCTTGTAATCCACCTGAATCAGGGAGGAAATTTAGATTTAGAAGTGAAGAATGCTGCTGCTTCACTCTGAAATTACTGAGGTCCTCTTATCCTGCTAAGAATAAAAAGGTTACAGGCAGCTCTGACGGATAATTTAGCTTCATCAAACCATCAAATACATGTCAGACAGTTAGTGTTGCTCCCTTTGCTTTAGGGAGGCTCATTATGCAACAAACCTGTCTGAAGGAACCCATTTTTTATTTATCTAAACGATAAATATTCATCATTTGGGTCAATAGATTTAGTTTTTTTGTTTTTTGTAAGTAATATTTATTATATAGCACCTTTCACAGACATAAGGGCTGGTTATCCTCCTGCAGCGGAGTGCAGCAGTGAGCTCGTCGCAGATATTTTTGATTTATGCTCAATATTGAAGCGTGGTCTGCGCTGTGTTTATTCCACGCCACAACGCCAGAGGGACATTCAAAGACTATCTGTGGGTCTAGATACGGCCGAGGCGGTGAGGAAGTGGGGGCAGTTTGTTCGACAATGAAGGGACATGAGGGCGAAACAGACCGGATCCAGGTGGAAAAAGGGTCCAAGCATTATCGCGCACCTCACTCTTCTAGCTGGTCCATCTTCAGTCGTTTTCCAAAATGGCGGTCAGACAGACAAAACAAGCTGGTAAGGTACCAAACAGGAAATACACATAGTGTAACCAGGTAGTTTCCGACACACAAGCAGACTACCTGGTTCTAAGTATAAATCAGCCTATAGAGGTCACAAGGCGTTTCACAAAATTACAATACAAATAAAAATCATTTACAGTCACAAAAGACAGTCATAAAACCACCATTAATCTACTAGAATTAAAAAGCTTTCTTAAACAAATAGGTTTTCAGTTCACTCTTAAAAACATCAGAGTCAAGTAAGCGCAAGTAAAGTGGGAGGTCGTTCCAGAGCGTCGGCGCGACCGCCTTAAAGGAGCGATCTCCACTGCTCCTGTAACGAGTACGAGGGACCATGAGCAGCTTCTGGACCTGAGACCTCAGCCTCCCAGAGGGGCTATAAGGAAACAACAAGTCTCTTATGTAGGAGGGAGCCTAACCGTGAAAGTCTCTGAAGGTCAGCACTAGAGACTGACATTTTTCCGGGAGTAAAATAGAAAGGAAAAAAAATCCAGTACTGGCGCCGCCATTTTGTAGTTTTTTTCCTTGAAGCCTACACTATAATACGAGTCAAAAAAACTACACGACCCAAAAACCAACTGTGCTTCCGCTCTGAATTTTTTCACCCGCGTTTAAAAAGAACAAGAATGGGAGTGGAGCGGGAGACATTCTGAATGGGAGTAATTTCACCAGGAGTGGGACGGGACAGGATTTAGATTTCTACTCTGGCCCGGGATCGGGACGGGACACAATTTTTTTCTGTGGGAGTGGGACGGGACAGGAGTGAAAATCCACTCCCGTGTCAGTCTCTAGTCAGCACCAGGATTTTAAACTGGAACCGAAAAGAGACTGGGAGCCATTGAAGAGCTTTTGGGCATCTGGAGTTTTGGGTCACCCAGCTCTGGGGGGAGCGGGTCTTTGGCCCTTCACAACCACTATTGAGCATTTTTCCGTTGCATGCACAAGTGCACTCTCACAAACAACTACAGGTACTTAGAGGTTCACCTCCACACAAAAAGCCCATATTCTTATCTTCAGCTACCACAGTATACATGTCAGATTAAATAATACTCCTTCAGCGATAGTATCTAGGCGGTACTTTATTGTATCTCTTATACTATGTCCATTGCTTGTGCCGTTCTGTTTACATCTCTTTGCAGGTGATGAAGCAGACTAAACATATTTTATCATAATCTCCCTTTAATCTCCTCTTTCATCTTTTCTTTTTCCTGTTTAACTTACATTGCAGTGTCCATATAATCTCTAATCCTCACTGCATGAATTACAATACAGTTATTTATATGCCTAAATAAAGCGGAACATTAGGGCGATAGCCGTACTGCTCCACTTGTGAAAGCAAAATCTGTTTGGCTCTTTTTTGGCATCAAGACAATTATCCTTATTGCCACAACGCCAGACAGGACACTGTAAAAAAGAAAAAGAATCAGTGTAATATGAGCCCTTCTGTCTGTACGAGTCAGTAACATCGCCGCAGAGCTCAGAACCTGCTAATTTATAGATTTACCTCATCTAAAAAGGTTTTTAAAAAAAAACATTTATTCACTGGATAATTGTTATTCAGCTTCGGCCAAACATTTGATGAAAAAACACAAAGGTGATCTAACCTTTCCTGCGTAGTGAATAACGCAGAAGTCTGCATCATCCTTGAGTTTCTTAGGTTTAACGAACTTTGGATGAGTTCCCTGCTCTTGAGCCAGTTTCTCCACAAACGTCTTATCGGTGGCTTTAGGGAACCAGCACTCTTCGTCCAGCAGAGCCAGGATGCCTGGAGGACCAGCCTGGAACAAACCAAGAGAAGAGACACACCACTGCTATAACAGGAAACGGCCACATGGTGCGATTTATACTGCAACACATCAACTGCACTGTTGGTTTGACTGGGAATCATACAGGTTTCTCAATGAGGTCGATGCAGGGCTGCAGGTCCAAGCCGAAGTCGATGAAGCTCCACTCGATGCCCTCCCTCTGGTACTCCTCCTGCTCCAGGATGAACATGGTGTGGTTGAAGAGCTGCTGCAGCTTCTCGTTGGTGTAGTTGATGCAGAGCTGCTCAAAGGAGTTCAGCTGCAGGAGGTAAAGAGATCAAATCAAATTTAACGAGGATACGCTGAAACTTTACGATCCATGCTTCTGTGGAAAAGTTCAGACTCCCTTCCCGCCATATTTGTTACCCCCAACCCCTTTATAGGGGAACAGAAGACCTCGCCTATTCAGCCAGGCCAACAATTCCCTTTAATGACCCCCCTTTCAGAGACATAGACAGGTATGGGGCATTGCAGGCTAACAAAAGATGCCAAACGACCCCATTCCAAAGGGGGGGACCCGTTCATCCGTTTCTATTTGCATGTTTTCAAACAAAAACAAGGCTTTGTTGGTCCACTCTATAAAGCCTCGACTTTAACGCCATTTCTGACATTTTGAATCGGAAAAAAGCTTCCTGGATGGGAAGAGAAACGCCTTCAAACTTGGAAACAAAGTCCAGTGGATTGTTTAATTTTTATGGGAAAAAATAATAAGACTGTAGCTTTTATGTCACTAGAAAAGGTCCATGTCAATAGATTCAGATTACAGCGACTAAAGATGGCTGGATCGGGTTCCTGTTTTTAAATAAACTGCAGTCTGGTTTCTATGTAGACATTTCATCCTGCTGTAGAATAATTAGGATTCATCCTTAGAGCATTAAACAAATAGGCTTGGTTCAGGCCGTCAAAACAAGTCACACCCATGTTTGATCAGCGCCCAGTCAAAAGGATCCGAGGCTGCTGATGCTGCATGACCTTCATTATGTTTATCTCTGAGAATTCATTCACAAACTGAACCATACATTTTAAGCCACTCATCATTCCTAGTGAAATCTTGTATTCAATCAGGGGACATCATGTCTTCCACACATTTCCTTCTCACTTACATTCACCAATAATGTTCCAGTTATTCCAAAAAAGTTAAACAATCCACTGGACTTTGTTTCCAAGTTTGAAGACGTTTCTCTTCCCATCCAGGAAGATTTTCAATTCAAATGTCAAAATTATCGTTGAGTTTCAAGCTTTATATAGTAGCCAAAAAACTTGTTTTGGTTTAGAAAACATGCAGCCACAGACGAATGGCTCAAAACGGAAGAGCGTCCTACTCCGGAAAAGACACTGTCCATAAGGTGTAGATGTACCGCAAAGGACATTCTTTTGAGGACCAGAATGTTCACATTTTGGACAAAGACGACAGGGGGCTTGAGAGGGGCATGAAGGAAACCATATATCTTAAGAAAAACCAACCTTAAACAGAGGGGGGGTGGACTCAAGATTTCAGCTTTCAAAAACCTACAATGCAGCAATGGAGTGGATTCATTTTGGTATCATATCAACCTCCATCGCTATGCAGGGGACCAGAACACCTTGCCTGGTCAGCCAGACTAACAATTGCCCCCAACGACTCATTTCAGAGGCATAGACCAGTATCAGGTATTGCAGGCCAACAAAGACCTCAAGATCCTATTCTTAAGGGGCAGACCTGTTCTTCCGGTTAAATTTGCAGGTTTACTAAGCCAAAATAGGTTTTTGTGCTACTATATTAAAGCTTTGAACTCGAAAATCTTCCTGAATGGGAAGAGAAACGTCTTCAAACTTGGAAACAAAGTCCAGTGGATTGTTTAACTTTTTGGAATGATTATGACCCGGGTGACAGAATCCTCTCCAGCATGTAGGTGTTTTATTTAAGTCCAACATAACTAAAACCAGATTTAGAGTCAACCTGCTGGCTTTTGATAGACCAACTCCACATTTAAATAACCCTGAATGATTCATGCATCACCATCGTCATCATCATCCAGGACTACAGGATCCTTTGAAAAATTAATGGACAGAATCAGGTCTTTCTACAGGCGATTAGTAGATAAACGGAACAGACTTCAGGGATTGCTTAAAGCTACAGTGTGTAATTTTCAGCGACATCTAACGTCCAGACCGCAGCAACATGAACATCTCCCCCCCACCGCTTCTCCCCCCCAACAGTACGGCGAGCGTTACGGGACAAAATGTCTTCCACAACGTCTGCATCACCTACCTTCTCAAGTGATGAGGTTTGTTTACATAGATAATTTTACAGATAGTATTTAATTAGTCTGTGTAGGGTATAGATTTCATGTAGACTTAAGATAATAAATATACCTGTTATTTTTTCTACGTCGTTGTGACGTTTTGGTGAGCTGCTTTGCATGGTGATAAAAACAGACGAAGTAATTGTAGTCATTAGTTTAACAGCGAGATTGTGTTCGCTGGAAGAATATATATTCCCCGTTTACAGAGTCTAAGTCTTGTTTGTGGCACGGGGGTTACAAGGCGAGGAAGAGGGCAGAGGGCGAGGGCAGAGAGGGCGGGGTGGGCGTGCAGCTAGGGCCAGGCGAGGGAGAGGTGCCAGCGGGGTGACTAGAGCAGAGGAGGAAAGGCTTGAAGATCTCCAAAGGAGCCGGAGAGAAGTAACCGAGGTGTATATCCAGAAAATTATTTTACAGAAAATTACTGAATCATTACCTGTGAAATGTCAGGGACGTTGCTGAATAAATATACTGGAGTGTAACAGCATCATCACGCAGCATGTTATTGTAATGGGCGATCTCGCAATCGCTAGTTTGTTGGCTCTGCGCTGCCGTAGCGCAAAGATGTCTGCCTCCATGGCTGCGAGACCCGCTCCTATGTAATTATAAATAACGAATTCTAAGGCAACGCAAATATTAAGGTTAAGAGGCTGAGCTCGTAGATCATGATAAATAACATAGTTATGTATAATATATTACATTTCTGACCGTATATCCCTGTAATTATTACACACTGTAGCTTTAACATCTGTAGCGCATCTACAGTGTTTAGATTGTGTGAACTGATCATTTATAATGTATACATATAATCTAATGTGAGGCAACATTAGCTTTGAAGTTTTCTTATGCTTGATTTTTGGCTCATCTGACAAAGTTTGCCGTAACTTTTGCAACTAACGTAACTTTCACGAGTGCACCTGCATTGGAGTTTGCATTAAGACAGGGGTCTTCATCGTTTTCCAGGCCAAGGACCCCAAACTGATGGCGAGATGGAGCGGGGACCCCCTAATTACATATATTTTATGAAATTGTGTAATATCAAAGTGGTCCTATAGTCACTGTATTAAAGATGGAGTAATCCCTCCCTGGGATTATTAAAGTATTTCTGATTCTGATTCCTGGTTGATGGGACAGGTGTTGTGAATGAAACGGTGTCCAGCTTGAAAGAGCTCCTGTGTGTTGCTGAATGTGAGCATTGATGACTGAAAGACATCTTCTGCTTTCATTTATCTGTTTACTACAGTCTGTTGGATTCATGTTAATGTGGATTTAAAGACATTTCAATTAGTGGAAAAAATTGCAGGAGGGAATATAAAAAAAAAAAAAAGACTAATCCACCAAAAGTTTCGTGACCCCATGCAGTACCTCTGTGGACCCCCTAGGGGTCGCGGACCCCCTGTTGAAGACCTCTGCATTAAGAGATAAATGTATGTGTAAATGAGGTTTTACATTTTAAATGCGCTCACTAAAAGGTTGCATAACCTGCTTTTTTTAAATGGAATTGCAGACAAATTTTTGTTGCATAAACAAAATTGTGTTTTAATTTAACTTTTAGGAGGTTACCTCAAAGATCTCAAATCCAGCAATATCCAGGATTCCTATGAAGGACGCTCCCTGCCTCTTGGTTTTGTCCAGAGCCTTGTTGATCCTCATCACCAGCCAGCGGAACATCCTCTCATACGAAGCTTTGGCCAGAGCCTCAACGGCAAACTCTGCCTGCTCCTGGGTCTGGGCCTTCTGAACGTAGTCCCTACCGACCTGAGAGAGAAAACGCCAGCATTACACTACGTCGCTGTGAGGAACCCGAACGATTCGATCATCTTCAAGTATTTTTGACAATAATGTGGAAGCATGTTTTTTCCTCAGCCTAGAGCGATAAAATATAAGCGTATAAGGTTTCCTTATCCTCCTTCACACCCGAGTGTTTATCTCGCTAATGAAAAATGCATCTCCTTGATTAAATGAAGTCATTTTGCTCCAAATGTTTGTGTGTGAGGAAGTTCTTTATGCAGGGATGGGTTGGTTCCAAGGGAGAGTGTGATGGGATTTGAACAGTATAGGTGTGTTTGCAGTCAGAGCTTTTCTCTCCATCTAAGGACTTAAAATAAATTTGAACTTTCTCTTGCAAGAGACTCAGTTTCTCCAAAACTTCACAAGGTTTAGACTGAATCGCAAATGTTTCAACCAGCTGCAGAGCAGACCTTGATCCTGGGAGACAAGATGGCTCGGGTGAAGTCGGTCACATTGATGCCCAGCAGGTGGCAGACTTTCTGGGCAGCTGGGAGTGAAAGATGGCAAACATCACAGGATTAAATTAAAAGCCGTCTTCATTTTCACATGCTCCTGTTCCACAGTGAAGGAGGTGTACCCGTGTCGTCAGGCATGGACGCCTGGTCCGAGTGTCGCTCCTTCTTGAAGATCATGTTCCCCAACTGGAGCACGGCTGAGACGACCTTCAGCAGACCTGAGGAGGAACAAAAGCAGCTCAGACTTCTGACATGTTTATAGTTTCTCAACATGACATCCGGTTTTATATTCCCTACAAATTTCTCCTTAAAGGAATAGTACACCCAAAACATGATTAGCCTTCATTTTCTACTCACCCCCATGCTGAACAACACTCTGGAGTACTTTTTTGATATCTCAAATGCATCTGGAGATCTGGGAGGCTTCTTGCTGTCTGCTGACATTCAAATAATGGAGGTCTATGGTGACCGAGACAGAAAGGTCCATAAAAGTCCACAAAAAACGTGTCAATATTCCTCCATACTGCTCGTCCAATGTATTCCAAGTGTCCTGAGTGGGTAGCATCCAGAATTTACTCGAAACGAAGTCATTTAGAATGTTTTTAGAGCATAAACAGTAGTGTATAGGATTTCCTAAAAGCGAGTTCATGACGCTACGGAAACCGCGGCAGACCAAACCAGCGCATTCAGCTCGGCAAAGAACTCATGCTCTTCCTCAACACTGAAGTCCTCAGACATTTTTCTTCCGTTGTTTCTTTCTTTGCACAGGTAAACAGCACATTTCTTCTTCTACGCTTGCATTATCGGCAGAGCAGACGCTGAATGCGCACTTTCATCTGGTTTGGTCTGCCGCAGTTTCCGTAGACTCGTGAACGCGCTTTTAGGAAATCCTATACACTACTGTTTATGCTCTAAAAACATTCTAAACAAAACTCCAGAGTGTTGTTCAGCATGGGGGTGAGTAGAAAATGAAGGCTAACCATGTTTTGGGTGTACTATTCCATCTCCTTGAACCCCAGTCGGCCTCAGCAGATGGCCGCTCACGCCGAGCCTGGTTCTATGGAAGCTCATTGGTAGAATTCCCTTATGACTGAAAGAAGGCCACCATTCACACCATTTTATCATCTGGAGGGGGGACACATTTAATTACAAACCGAATTCATACAGCTGTCTTAAAACACTTCATACAATCAGCACTGCATCGTCAAAATTCAGTTATCCCCCAACCTTCAGTCGATTCTAGGCAGCATTTATAGTTTCCACATCGCATTACGAAACTGCACATGCACAGGAATATCATGTCGAAAGCTTACTGGAATTCACGTGTTCTGGCCGACGCCAGCGGTCAATTTGACACTGGGAGGAATGTTTATACAGATGTTCTCTGTTTATGCCAAACCTCCTCATACATCATCTAATTGCGTACGAAAAAGGCATTAGGGACGTTATTATTGCTAAGACTCATACTTGACTTTCAGCATGTACCGTTTTGTTGCTAAGTAAGTATAGGGCAACGTTTAAGGATATATATAAGACAATAAAACTGCTTCTACAGTTCTGCTGGAGGTTTCTTCCTGTTAAAAGGGAGTTTCTCCTCTCCACTGTCGCTACAAGCATGCTTAATGTGAGGGATTGCTGGTTGACAGTTGCCTTTTGTATCTATGCTTCTTTTTCTATCTCTGCTTCTGTCTCCTTGAACCCCAGTGGGCCTCAGCAGATGGCCGCTCACACTGAGCCTGGTTCTGCTGGAGGTTTCCTCCTGTTCAAAGGGAGTTTTTCCTCTCCACTGTCGCTACAAGCATGCTTAGTGTGAGGGATTGCTGAAGAGTCAATGAGTCGATGCAATCAGCTGGTTTTCCTTGGATAGAAAACTGGAAAGTGACCTGAGATGACATGATGTGAATTGGAGCTATAGAAATACACTAAACTGAAACAAAGCCATACAATCTGACAGACGGTGGTTCTATGGCACTTAAACTAAATACCAGTTATCTCCTCCTCAGGGATGCTCATGATATTAAAGGCCTCCATGGTTTCCTGGAACATTTCCTTGTCCGTCTGCCCTGGGATGGTCACATTTCCATTGGACAGGAAACGGTACTTGCTGTAATCCTCCAGACACAAATCAGCTGAAATGGGAGCAACAAAGAGATCAAATCACTTTAATTCTATACAAAACAACTACGATCAAACTGACTTTACTATGTTCCCAAAGCAGACATGGAATCTTCAGCTTTTAATGCATTTTCAATAATTAAGCTGAACTAGTGTGTCTGGGCTCTTCCTAATGCTACGTTCAAACCGCAGCAGAAGCAACGAAAACGCGCGCGCTGCTTCATTTTTTATGCTTGTACAAGTTGAGTACTGACGTGCAGCTGAAGCATCTTTTCTAGAGCAGAAAAGTGGGTCCGATGTGCGTTTGGCGGAGCTACCCTATCCTTTCTCTGCCTGGAACAATGGCAGCTATATTTGCTGTGATCAGCGGGTAAAAATTTGTTTTAATATGTGTTGAAGTGAGAAAGTCCTCCTGAAAACTTCCTCTGTGCAGTCAGTTCATCCAGATTACCATCCTGCCTTCAAATATTATTTCTCTGTGGGAGCCGCTCAGACCCCCACATACCGGCGCTGCGCTGTCACTGGGAATCCCCAGCAGCAGGTTCTGGCCCGGATGCCTCTTAGCGTTTTCCTCTACTGCTCGCAGTGGCTGGAAGGCGTTTTTCCACATACGTAATCTAAACTGCAGGCATCAGGATAATAAAAGCCAACATATTCTGCCGGCAGGTTTCCACATTTTAAGTTAATTTAGGCGTTAATAAACAGTTAAGAGGAGTGATCATAGCGCTCTGCATCAGCAGTGCTGCATCTGACTCCCTGCCAGCTCCCAGATCAGCTTCGCTGATTGGTTGATGAGGAGTGTCCAGCAACTAAAGTTCAATGTTTTCAACTTGAGCATCTGACACATTTGATGCGCTGCTGCGGCAGAACCTTTTGCTGCACCTTGATGCACGTCAACCATTGACTTTGCATGTAAACTAGCTGCTCCTGCTGTCTCTGCTGCTTGCAGTGTGAACGTGGCATTAGAGATGGGGTGAGGAGCTCAGTCATCGAGGAAGGACTCCGAGTAGAGCCTCTGCTCCTCCACATCGAGAGGAGCCAGTTGAGGTGGCTCGGGCATCTGGTTAGGATGCATCCTGGATGTCTCCCTGGTGAGGTGCTCCAGGCACGTCCCACCAGGAGGAGACCCAGGACACGCTGGACTACGTTTCTCGGCGTTCCTGGGAGCGCCTCGGGGTTCCCATGGAGGAGCTTGACCAAGTGGCTGGAGAGAGGGACGTCTGGGCCTCCCTAATGAAGCCGTTGCCCCCGCGACCCAACCCCGGATCAGCGGAAGTAGATTGATGGATGATGTTCACAAAATTTACTTTATGCTTAATTTAAATTTTGTCAAAATAATGCTAATCTGACATTTTAGAACTTGAAAAATGCAGCTGTTATTTTGCACCCCTGCTGTGATGACCAAGTGTTTAAAAGCTCACAGCGCATTTTGTCTCCTGCTCCTGTCAGCATGTAGTAGAAGATGTGGAAGCTCCTCTCTTCTTTAGCCTGCCTGACGCCTCGAGACTTTTCCAAGAGATCTGAGGGTTCGGTCAAGGATCAACCAGGATGGGATTTTTTATTCGTTTACCAGTAGCTGAATCAGTGGACTTGATGAATCTGACGTTCAGGTGAACCAAGAAAGGATACAAGTTTCAATGTTGGCTCCAACGATGTAGCCGTTCACGTCAAAGTTGATCCTGATGAATTTCCCCTTTTACAAGTAAAAACAAAAAAAGGTACATTTAAATGCAGGTTAGCACAATATACAAAAAAAAATAAAAAATCCTCATTTGTCAGTCTGATACCATGGGAGGACTTACTGACTTTCTAAAGTAAACCTCAGTGATACTCGCATACACCAGAGGAGGATCTGATCATAAAGGCTGAGTTGAAACAGGAACACTGAGGTTAAAACAGGACGGCACATTTCCACCTTTGATGTTTAAAGGTCTGACAATAATCTTTAAGCCCTCCAGGCTTAAAATGGTGAAATAGGGGTGCCTATGTCCTCCAGAAGTCTATCTCTATTCTCCCACTCTGCAGAATCTGTTAGTTCAATCTCTAACGTTCTGCTCTCTCTGCTTTTTCTCACAGTAGCTTCATCTGGTCTGTTCCTGTTTGGCTGTGACTCCATCCTGGAGAGAAATATCAGCTGTGCTGCTGCCATCAACACCTTTGTTTCTAGATGTTGGAGCTTGGCCTGTTTTACAGTGTAGTCCTGTTTCTCTGACTGTGACTAACTGGATGTGCTCTCTTCATCCTCTGACATGGGAGCTGGCTCGGAGCTCGTCTGCCTGGCTGTGTGTTTCCTGGAGGGACCGCCTTTTACAGTTGCCTTTTGTATCTATGCTTCTTTTTCTATGTCTGCTTCTGTCTCCTTGAACCCCAGTCGGCCTCAGCAGATGGCCGCTCACACTGAGCCTGGTTCTGCTGGAGGTTTCCTCCTGTTCAAAGGGAGTTTTTCCTCTCCACTGTCGCTACAAGCATGCTTAGTGTGAGGGATTGCTGAAGAGTCAATGAGTCGATGCAATCAGCTGGTTTTCCTTAGATAGAAAACTTTAAATCAATCTGACTGGATGATCTGGTGAACTGGAAAGTGACCTGAGATGACATGATGTGAATTGGAGCTATAGAAATAAACTAAATTTAATTTAAATTTGGTTTTACTAAAATGTATGCAAGTGTGTTAGCAGAGGGCCCTGAGGATCAGGGTTAAGAAACCCTGTTTGAATAAAGGTGGAAAAAAAAAAAAAAGGGACCATCATGCGTCTCTCAGACGCATTTGGTGCAGGTAATGGAGTCACTTACAAATCTGGAGGAGTTATCATTCTTGACCGTTTTTGCGTTTCCAAAGGCTTCCAGGATGGGGTTGGCCTGCAGCAGCTGCTTCTCAAGCTCCCCCTAATGGAGAAGAGACAGAATCACTCGTTTCATCACGACTCAAGCTGCAGACAGTCAAACCAAGCAGACATGCACATCCTTCCTTAGCAGATGAATACTAGGAAAGAACTTTCCTTTTGATGTAAAAGAATCTCTTTTCCTTCCAAAAAGACAGACCTTAGGCACCGTTATTGCCCAACCAATCACACGCAAGCACAGGCAAAATACAGATGCTGCACATTCCTGCATACAGCACACTCCCCCCAGAGCAGCAAGCCCGCTCAGGCTTTAAACCCCTGCAACGCTGGTTTCTTTCCATGCAGGCTCAAGCGTCGCAGTGCACGCCACCGCCGGCCAGACCATGACACAAACAACAATACCTACACCATGAAGAAAAACAAAGCCTGACTGGATGAAAACAGCTGCTGGGTGGAGTGAGGAAACCTGAGCTAAGCTTTAGTTCAGCCACAGATTAAGTTTCTGGTAAACTGGTGGTTTCATGGGCAAGCAAGCTAAATGGTGAGCAAACTGCACCAACCCTTACACATAGACAACCGCTCAGGCTTGTTAGCACGTTAGATGCTAATTTAATAATACTTTAGAGAAAATGCTTGCTTGGTCCCTTTTTAAGCACTTTAAGGAAAGGTTACAGTATTTCTGTCACAAGTATCAATAGTAGGTAGTCATCTTATAAGGAACTGAATGCTTAATACTTCCCTTTCTGCACAAACTCTGCAGTTTCTCAGTCTTTAAGCTAAAAGCTTGTGGCTGTATGAGGTTTAGGAGACACCCAGGCAAGAAGAACCGACTCTTTGTTAGTATGGACACATATGAAGCCAAAGAGATGAACTCACATGTGACAACACAGCACTGCCCTGCAGAAAGAAAGGAAATTCAACACATTAGAAACAGATTCTAGGTCAGATGTTACATAATTTAACAGGAAACCTGGTGGCCAACAATGACTGGTGACAAAATGATTTATGAAATATTTCATGTCAAGTCTTGTGAAACATCCTATACAAGAATAGCAGCACAGACGTGCGTGTTCAAAGATGTGAGTTTTGCTTCAACTCCTTTGCGACGGAGGAGAGGCAGGCGTGTCGGGGCAGGAGGTAGGAATGCACCATCGTCGCCTCGCAGCTTGCTAAGATGCATACCTTCAGGGGTCTGGACTAAAATGGAAATCTACCAAAGACAAGACTGTGGAACGATCAGGAAACAGATGAGCTGCAGAAAAGGGGCGTGTCTCTTCCCTTTCACCTATCCCACTGGAGAGGAAAAAAAAAAAAAAAAAGGATAGAAGCCCATTTGGTTTTCAAACCAACCTGCTCTTTCTTGGACTTGGAGGATGAAGCGACATGTGCAAGATACTGAATGACCTTCTTTGTATTCTCCGTTTTTCCAGCTCCTGACTCGCCTCTGCAAAAAAAAAAAAAAAAAATGCAAAAAAAACACAGAAACACCAGAAGCTGTAACTTAAAAGTCAAACTGAGTCCAATGACATGTTTTAATAAAAACCAAGCAGGACAAATGAAATAAAAGCAGGACTTGTAATTTGATTCAGGGTCTGACCAGGAGATGATGCTTCCCTTTAGATCTTAAAGTCCACAAATCATGACAGAATATTTTAGTACAAAGATTGAGGTTTAAAAAGGAATTGTCAGGAACCAGCCAAGGGCCCTTCATCAAGAAAGGGGGGAAATTATGAATGGCTACTACTGTATCACAATTATACGTTTATTCTTTAGAAATGCAAACTAAAAATAATCTAAGACGAATTTGAATAATTTCAAGAGGAGAGTTTATTGTCCTTCTTACAACAAGCTGACTGGCAGTGTGCAGCATCATTAAAGGTATGGCTTAAACCTGCATAATAAGGCCTCTGACATCAGTCTAAAATTAAACCATAAAAATCATTGTGAGTAGCACAATTGATTATTTTGTCCTCAGAGGATCTTTGTGCACCGACAAATCTAACGATAACTGATCCAATAATATTCTGCTTTCCGAGTCTTAACTCATTACCACAAACATCAGCTGATACCTATGCCTTTCCAGGTTATTCTTGTCAGTTTTGCAAAATCTAAAGAAATGCAAAGAACTGAAGAAACGTACGTGCAAAGGATGGACTGATCCTCACGATCTGTTAGGGGGAAAAAAAGAAAAAAACTGTCAGGAACTGAATAACATTGGGTGCAAAGAAAGGTTTAAGAGGACTTAGCCTCATGAGACCATCCTGATCTCGCGAGCTTTCAAGGTTTCACTCGCTAATCAGTCTGGAGACTCTCCGTTAAAGAAAATTTGGAGCCGTTCACCAAACGAACGTCCAATCAGCGTTGGCTTTGAGGCGGGTTGAGGTGTGACGCAACGAGAAGCGCGACAGTTCAATCTAAAGAACATGCCGGCTTCAGCCGATGAAACTAGCGTTAGCGTGGCTATCGAGCAAGTTTTATGGGAATTACAGAGTATTTCTTCACTGAAAGAAGAGCAAAACGCTGCTCTGGAGGCTTTTCTCAGAGGAAAAGATGTTTTTGCTCTCCTCCCGACTGGTTTCGGCAAGAGTAGCCTGGCTTGTGGTTGTGTTTTTGTTGTCGCTCTGTTAGTACGTCATATGCTTCGTTGATCTGATTGGTTTATTTGGCCCGTCTATCACCAACATAGGCCAATCAGCTAACCAGTATTTTCGCCCCTTCCCAAAATTACTTCAACAGAAGGTTTCCAGATGGATATGCAGAGCAAATCCATCTGGCAGAGTCAGGTTAGAATAGCGATGGAATGATGAAAAAGGGGTCCCTATGTCCTCCGGCAGTCTAAGCCTATAGTAGCATAACTATAGAGCAAAACGCTGTATTGGTGCGCATGGATGCCCAGGATGCCAAACGGGAACAGCCCAGAGAAAGCTACTATGAGAAACAGAAGACATAAAAGGTTTAAAGAAAGATTTGTTTTTTTGCTCCGCAAATCCATCTGGCGGAGTCAGGTTAAAGAGGACCAACATTGCAGAGGATTGTGCTAAAAGCAGCTATGTACATATATGGTCCGTTAGCTGCCCTGGTCCTGCATCAGTCACACCCACCCTGCATCATGCTTCTATAGGCCGTGTCTGTGATGGCGTAGATATGGGGAGGCATTTCGTGCCTCTTCTTGCCCTTGTACATATTGACGATTTCCTCGCTGTAGATGGGGAGGTTCTTGTAGGGGTTTATCACCACGCAGAAGAGACCTGAGTATGTCTGGGGGGGGACAGGATGTAAGGTTAAAACTCAGGTGGAAGTGTGGATTTCTGCATAAAGCCGAAAGACTCCCGTCCACTCACATAGATGAGTCCGGAGTAGTATCTCTCCTTAAGGTTGTGCAGGACGGAGGCCTCATTCAGGCAGGTGAGCTCAGCCATATCCTCCACCTTACTGAACTTGGGGGGATTCATTTTCTGGATGTCATCCTTATTCACCTTCACCTGGGCGTTCACAGAAGCTGAAGTGAAAAACACCGAACAGTTTGGACTCGGAATGCACAAAGCCATTTCAGAGTTTTACCTTCTTGCCAGAGTCGGCCAGCTCCACCACGCACTCATCTCCCTTCTCCTCTTTGAGCGAGCCGGCCTCAAAGCCCTGCTTCTCACTGGGGATCCAGACCAGCTTCTTGGAGGCCCAGTCGGCCTGGGCCAAAGGGTCGTTTACGCCGCCACGCTGCCCGTAGAGGAACTGTTCAACGTCCGTCATGGTGACTTAAGATGAAAGAAAACATTCATTAGGAAACTCATTTGCAGCCAGTTGTTTTGATTCGAGCAGATAGCTTTGTTGTGTAGCGCAACTATGCATGTTAGACCAGTCATGTGTGTTCTTGTACCAATCCTGAAACCCCTACAGCGTTATTTCAGTCTGAAATTTATGAACTCTCACAATCTTCATGAACAAAAGCAATTAAAGTGAAATTGAGCCTGTGTACATTTACCATAGTATCGTGTGCCTGTCATTAAATAACTGTGCATGCCTACAATTGGTCAAGAAGACAAACCAATGAAGAGTGAGAGCAGAACTCCCAGCGTAGCTGCAAAAAAACAACAAAACATGTCTAATATCAAATGTTAAAAGGTACAAGAAGAGTTTTGATTCCAAGAGGGACAAAAACTTATAACCTGACTCCGCCAGATGGATTTGCTCTGCATATCCATCTGGAAACCTTCCGTTGAAGGGGCGAAAATACTGGTTAGCTGATTGGCCAATGTTGGTGATAGACGGGCCAAATAAACAATCAGATCAACGAAGCATATGACGTACTAACAGAGCGACGACGAAGAGGAGCCAATTGATGGATCAAACTCTTGCCGAAATAAGTCGGGAGAAAAGCAAAAACATCTTTTCCTCTGAGAAAAGCCTCCAGAGCAGTGTTTTGCTCTTCTTTCAGTGAAGAAATACTCTGTAATTCCCATAAAACTTGCTCGATAGCCCCGCTAACGCTAGTTTCATCGGCTGAAGCCGCCACGTTCTTTAGACTGAACTGTCGCGCTTCTCGTTGCGTCACACCTCAACCCGTCTCAAAGCCAACGCTGATTGGACGTTCGTTTGGTGAACGGCTCCAAATTTTCTTTAACGGTGAGTCTCCAGACTGATCTGCGAGTGAAACCTTGAAAGCTCGCGAGATCAGGATGGTCTCACGAGGCCAAAAAACTTAAGCTTCCCCGGGGAAAAAACCTGATCATTAGAGTTCACTAAAGCTTAGGAAGCATTCGAATGTTGCTGTAAATATGCCGATCAAGCTTCTGGACTTTGTTTCCAAGTTTGAAGACGTTTTGGTTTCCCATCCAGGAAGCTTTATCAATAAATATCAGAACTGGTGTGAAGTTCGAGGCTTTATAGAATAACCAAAGCAAAACATACAAAAGCAATCAAAAGATTACTAGGAAAATGTTAATATCAGTGGGATTGTTGTACTTTGTCTAGTTTGGTGGCGTTTTGTTGACCTGGACATGTCTGCCCTTTGGCATGTGGATCTGGTTGGTTGTGCCCGTTGGCTGCAGAGATCCAAACAGATCCACTGCACTGCCAATAATGGAATACATTTTAATGATTTTTGCATCAGACTGCCAGTTGCCATTATCCTTTAAGATTCTGTGTTCTTGTGCCAACTAAGAGTTATCCCATGTGAGGAAGGTTGGTGCATACATAATTTAGCTTGCTAGCTTCCATACCAAACCATACTCTCACAGGGTTAGGACATCTTTAAAATACAAGCATTGAAACCATTAGCATTTGCCTCATAGAACTTCACCACAAAAACTTTGGCCTGGCCTTTTTCAGTGTAGTCCTGTTTCTCTGACTGACTAACTGGATGTGCTCCCAACATCCTCTGACATGGGAGCTGGCTTGGGGCTTGACTGCATGGTTGTGTGTTTTCGGACAGTTGCTTTTTCTATGTCTGCTTCTGTCTCCTTGAACCCCAGTGGGCCTCAGCAGATGGCCGCTCACACTGAGCCTGGTTCTGCTGGAGGTTTCTTCCTGTTCAAAGGGAGTTTCTCCTCTCCACTGTCGCTACAAGCATGCTTAGTGTGAGGGATTGCCTTCGAGTCAATGAGTCGATGCAATCAGCTGGTTTTCCTTAGATAGAAAACTGAATCAATCTAACTGGATGATCTGGTGAACTGGAAAGTGCCTTAGGATTTTTTTAATGTATTTATTTAACCAGCAATAAATCACATTGAGATTAAAAACCTCTTTTTCAAGGGAGTCCTGGTCAAGATTCATCAAAGTTACATAAAAAAAACAGAAATATTAAATTAAATGACAGGTACATAAAAAAATACATATTAAGTAAAATAATTACAGATCATTGAGGCCGCTTTAAATTCTTTTGCTTTAAACTTAAAAGCCTTTAAAGCTAAAAACTCGGTCAACTTCAAGTTTGTTTGTAAAATATTTCACGCACAAGGAGCTGCGTAGCTAAAGGCTTTCTTCCTTGCATCTCAGGGCAGAAGAAGCCATGCTTTTCTGTGCAAGTACTGTACAAATGTAAGAGGGCAGATGACGTGTTGTGAATTGGTGCTATATAAATAAACTGAATTGAATTACAGCTGATTGGTTTAGCGACTACAGTTTGAAGGCCACATACAGTCTGTAAAGTAGCAGACTTCATGCATCAACTAGATAATACCATGGTTTCTAAACTCTGTTCACCAAAGACTGCAGGGGCCAATTTATTTAAGACAGGTGTTTGGACGCAGGGAGATTCCTAAAAACATGCAGGACAGTGGGTACTGAGGTGCAAGTTTGAAAACCATATAGCCAATAGTTTCTTATATTTTCTATGCTAAACTGAAAAATGGCAAAAAGGATAGAATCAATGATTACTTAGAAACGCTTAAGACAACATTAGCCAAACTGGCTACAAGAGTTTCTGCACAAGATAGAGAGAATATTTGCCTCAATCCTTTAAAGAAAGGACTAAAACTCCAGATTTAGCAAAATACAGAGTGTAAAAGTTTTTTTTCCCCTTCAGTGGTTGATATTTGGCGTTAAAGAAGTGGATCAGCGTAGTTATTCCTGAAAGAAAGTTCTTCTCAATTCCCAAGTTTACCATCTAAATATAATCCAATAATTTCCATAGCCAGCCGAATTTAAGGACGATTCAGTACAGACAGTTATTTACAGGAAGCGTTAGAGCAAAGTCTGGCAGCTGAGGAGATCCGATTTAGTTTAGTTTAGTAGGCACTCAAGAATTTCTTTAAAGGAAAAGTCCAGTCAGAATTCAAATTTCTGAAAGTTCTTTAAATCTGAAATTATTCCAACCTTTTCAATAAATGATCAGTGTTTTTAATTTAGATTAATTTTCATGTGAATGTGCTTTACTGGAGGCATCCATGTTTGTCAAAGAACACTACTGCCACCTACTCGTTTGTGACGTCACGGTGCGGTATCGGCTGTTGATCAAGTCCCAGTGCTGTATCTGGTGTTTGTCACAACGCGCCATTATCCAAGTCATCTTGAAAACATTCTTCTTCCAAATGTTGGCTACATATTACGGGTTTTTTCTCTGGCCAGAAGTTCGATGGCAAATCCTCCCTCTTCAAGTTGGCGATCCAACGACCAACCCGTCCGTGGAGGATCAGGAATCAGAAAGGTGGAATAACTCTTTTTTTCACTTTTACCCGATGTATTCCAGCATCCAGCTGCCATGCACGTGGGCATTGTCAGTTTCACTATAGCTCTGGTGAATTTCAATGGTGAAGTCCTCTGGAAATCTTCAATAATTGTTGTTGATTGCAGATGTGTCTAGTAGTTCCCATTGATTTAGCTTGGAAAGCGGGGAGAATGGCGCTAGGCTTACCGCACCGTGACGTCACTGCTGGAAGATGGCAGGAGGGAGGGGCTACTATATTTGGGCAAAAATGGCCACTCCCAGACTCAGTGATCAACGAAAATTATTGTTGTTATTCAATAAATCACCGTAAACGTATTAGTCTTATATATAAATAATGATCCATTGATTATTCCTTGCTCACCGGACTATTCCTCTAATCCTGTAGTGGCATGAGTCATCTTCCATAGTCTAGTTTGTTAGATCAGCAGATTATTTGCAGCCGAGAGGAAACGATTTAATAAACTAATCTGGAAGCTCAGCTCTCTTTTAGAATGCCTCCTCTATCCAGAACAGGTTGTGGTAGAAATACTCTGGTAGACATATCATCAGTGTTGGACAGCGTCTTCCTCCCCAGGCATGAAGCTGCTGCAGAACTGGATAGCCGTTTCCGTAACAGACTACTGCGTCTTAAACGCACAAAGGAGCGTAATCGCAGATCCTTCTTGCCAGTATCCTTTGGTTTGTAGGGAGCAGTGATGGTTATAAGGTCCGAGTGTTTATATCCAGACTATTTTTTTTCCATCAACCATCTTGTTTTTAATCACAACATTCATGCAGAGGTATGCCTTAAATTATCCCACTGGTGAATTCTTTGAATCAAAGCATGTAATTTTTCATAATGGCAAGGTATCTTTTCTTACACAGTAACATGACTGTTTTAGTACCCGTTTGTAAATCTGCATGCTTAGACTTGCCTTTACATGACCACAATTCCCCACTAAGGAACAATAAATGCTACAACTATACTACAAATCCTCCCGAGGTGTTCAAATCTGGAAAATGTTTTTTTGTTTTTTCTGTCTCCAGGCTTTCACTACATTTTGAGCAGAGCTGCGGGTTCAAACCAACTTGCGCAGACTATGGAGTCACTGCACAGGCTCAGACACATCGGCCCTTTTAAGTTGTTTTTACTGCATCATTATGAGCATGTTTCTCTTTAGTCACGAACCTGTACAACAAAGAAAATACTAAATAAAGTGGAATACACCTCAACTCCCTCTCCTTCTAAAGATCTTTCTGTCACTTGCTAAAGTATTAACAAGTCGTGGTCTTATGAACTTTACTCATGAACTTCTGGTGATTTAATCAGGATTTTGATGCTCTAAAAATCAAACATTTAGAAAAAACAGAAGTTGAAGAAAATAGAGTTAAAAAAACTGATAAAGTGTACATTTAGACTGCTTATGTCCATTTTAAAACACCTTCCAGTCCAGTTACAGGTAGACATAAGTCTCTAAGCCTTATAGTCTCTGGACAGAAGCTCCAGCAGAGTCATATTGGAAGGAAAAATCCCACTGCAGCTTCTTAAGAGGATGTTTAAGCTGGACTTTGACCAGGGCCACACTAACAAATGTACTTCGACGTAAACAATCCCATTCCTAGAATATATTTCCCTTCCCCAGTCTCATGTGTTCTGCAGATGGCTGCGCTGTGATTAGCTCCACCTACTTTCCCCATCAGCGGTCATTTAAAAATCAAAGGACATCTTTGTAGGGTTACACTTGCCCCATAAAGATCTCCGTTTCTGAATAATTGTCCAAAAAAGTGCTTCAGGAAATGTTTGAAGCTCAGCGTTTCATTTCCTAACCCAGCGCTGGATTTTTCTTTATGATTCATTCATGTTCCCTGACAAATCTCTGACACCTTCACAGAATAACAGTGCAAGCCTGAACACAGATGCATGCCGCGTGTTTAAGATTTTAAATCCATGAATCATTTCCCTTTCAGTTAATCACATCTGATTCCATTAGTCGGATCCCGAGGAGATCCACTGAAGTTATGCTGCTAAAGGCTTAGACTGCTGGAGGACCTGAGGACCACTTTCCCCCCCCAGTCTCTCTCTATTCTGTTAGTTCAATCTCTAACGTTCTGCTTTTTCTCATAGTAGCTTCATCTGGTCTGTTCCTGTTTGGCTGTGACTACATCCTGGAGAGAAATATCAGCTGTGCTGCTGCCATCAACACCTTTGTTTATAGATGTTGGAGCTTGGCCTGTTTTCCAGTGTAGTCCTGTTTCTCTGACTGTGACTAACTGGATGTGCTCTCTTCATCCTCTGACGTGGGAGCTGGCTCGGAGCTCGTCTGCCTGGCTGTGTGTTTCCTGGACGGGGCCGCCTTTTACAGTTGCCTTTTTGTATCTATGCTTCTTTTTCTATGTCTGCTTCTGTCTCCTTGAACCCCAGTGGGCCTCAGCAGATGGCCGCTCACACTGAGCCTGGTTCTGCTGGAGGTTTCTTCCTGTTCAAAGGGAGTTTTTCCTCTCCACTGTCGCTACAAGCATGCTTAGTGTGAGGGATTGCTGAAGAGTCAATGAGTCGATGCAATCAGCTGGTTTTCCTTAGATAGAAAACTTTGAATCAATCTGACTGGATGATCTGGTGAACTGGAAAGTGACTTGAGATGACATGATGTGAATTGGCGCTATAGAAATAAACTGAATTGAACAGTCTGCAGTTGCAATTTTGACTAAAATGCAAGCGTACACTGCAAAAATGATCTCAAAATGAGTAAAAATGTCTTAAATCAAGGGTATTTACCCCTAATTTGAGCAGGTAAATAAGATGATTTGCCAATGGAATTAGTATTTTTACTCTTCAAATAAGGTTTCTAGATAAAATGCCCTTGAAATAAGACAGTGGAATTGTTTTTTCTTATTTTTAAGTCTAAATTGTCTTGTTCTATTGGCAAAGGGTCTCACTTAAATCCTTAATTCAAGAAAAAATGCACTTATTTTTAGAAGAAATGACTTATTTAGATTTCATTTTTTTGCAGCGTACATGTGGTCGTGTTACTTTTGCAAGGCACAGCATGTTCTACTAGTTGCTCTTACTGCTACCTCGCCATCTAATTAGTTAAAAATTCCACAAATTCCTCAACTTGGGCTCATCTACTGCCCCCCTGTCACTTCCGAAAGGGACAGATGCGCTGCTGCAGCACCTGGCCCGCCTGGTGCATTTACAGCACAGTTGGGCTTTTTAAATATCCTAAAGGAAGCTGCTGCAGGGATGCTATGAGCAAGGAGAGGATGGAATGTTGGTGCAAGTCTGGACAAAAAACAATATATCCCGACCACACCCTGAAAGAAAAAAAAAAAAAAATTGACCCAAAAGAAGTTATGATCCAGTCACCTAGATGTTGAAAGAAGGACATAAAGTTACAGAAACTGCCTCCTTGCTTCAACTAAAGCAGGCATCCCCAAAGTTGGTCCTTGAGGGCGGCTGTCCTGAAGGTTTTAGAGGTTTCTCTGCTTTAGCACAGCTGATTCTGATGATTGAAGTTCAGCATAAGCCTGTTAATAAGCTACCAACGTAAAAGAGCTGTGCTGGAGCAGGAAACCTCTAAAACCTGCAGGACTGCGGCCCTCGAGGACCGACTTTGCAGACGTCTGCCCTAAAGGGCGATGATCAGCGATGACAGACTGACGCGTCGGAGCGTGCATGTTTATAGAGAGGGATAAAGGGATCAGTACACAAGGTCTAACCTGGGTCTCTAAGTGCATTATGTGCTCAGGTCCAGAAGATCAGGGGGGGGGGGGGGATTCTGCAGCAGCACTGCCACAGGACAGAGGAAACGTCATCTCATCCACAGCTTCTGGCAGAATATCATAAACCACACTTCCAAAGCTGTTGCTGTCGTGTTTTTTAACGGCTTCACATTTAGAAGCGTCTGTGGACCAACTTCAGGGGGAAGTTGCACAAACTGCCTCCTTGCTTCAACGCGACTCTCTGCCGTTTATCCCGCTCGCAGTCCAGCTGCACAGCTTAATCTTTTGTTTTCTCAGGCCTCATCTTTGCCGCACCGTCCCTGGCTACCTGTCAATTCATGCTTTATCCGGCCTCTTATTGGATGAGCACGAGCCCTGCCACCTGCAGCTCATAGGAGGTCAGCGAGCTGAGAGGGTTAGCTCAGGTATGCTTAGATATCCTACCATGCAACCAATCAGAGTGACTAAAAGGAACTGGACCAGTTTTTATTTTGTTTACCAAGTAGAGCAGGTCAGGTAGTTATAGGAAGTAGGCCTTTTTTTCTAACCCAGCAGCTCTACAACCATGGGCTGTTCTAGACAGGGGCCAACGGGGGCCAGTGCCCCTGTACTGAAGACCTAATAAACAAAGAAATTCTAATGATAAACAAACAGGGTTACTGATAGCTCCTTTGGATCTATTAAAATTTGTTTCCCCTTTACAAATTCAGTTTTACTAATTATTATAAAACAATAAGATGATAGCTTCAGTGGTATTGAGATAGGATCCTAGTTTTTATCTGCTAAATGTTTTTTTTTCAAAACAACTTAAAAAAAGAACTCTTGTTTTTGAAGCTGAATTTATCAGTTTTTCTTGAGTTCTAGTTCGATTTTTATAGAAAACTGTAATTTTAACTTAAATAAAGTCAAAAATATGTAAAATTCCTAAATTATGAATAAATATTCACCTGATAAGATATAGAATTTTAATTAAACCTAATTGAATAGAAATTTCACTTCATGCAGCTGTCTTAACATACAGAAATCCCTCGCCCTGTTTTTTATTTCATGCTTTTCTGTGCCCCCATGAAAACACGCTGCCCCCCCCCCCACCTGGCCCCCTGGTACATCTGGTCTAGAACCGCCACTGTGCACAACAGAGTGCCTGCACAAAAAGAGGAACCATCAGTTTTTTTTATATCAATGTTTAAAAAGTCTCACCCCGGATGAGGAAACATACATGCAACTCCTGACGATCAGGGCAGCAGGATCTCTTTTATGTGCATCTAAGCCAAATTTGTAGCCTGGAGGTGGAGAACAGCTGGGTGTGTGCTGCTGAGCTGCAGCAGTCTGCAAACTAAACACCACCTGCCTAAATCACAGGCGCAGCAGCCTGAAGAGACTTTAGAAGGAAAGCGGCTACTTAGATGCTGCAACCGGTGTCATTTTACGTGTCATTTCCTGTTAACATCAAACAAGAAGACATTTTAACTTGGCTTCAGTTATTGTACAGAAGCAGCAATTCCAAATGGCCTTTCCCAGTCAAACCAGCTGAATTGCAGCCCACTTCCCTGCAGTGACCTCCTATTGCATATTTTTCCACCCTTTCACTGAACTACAGGGTCTGACCAGGAGATGATGCTTCTCTTTAGATCTTAAAGTCCACAAATTATGAGAATATTTTAGTACAAAGATTGAGGTTTATAAAGTAATTGGAACCAGCCAAGGAAGGATGGGAAACTTTGATGGCTACTACTGTAAAGGAGGAGAAAAACAAAAATCAGTAGTGATTTTAATCCTCTGCCATCATGGTAAGAACAACTGGTCCTGTTTGCATAAACTGAGTGGAAAAGTTAAATGAAGATGGGTGTTGATGGTTCAGGAAGTCTGATGGGGAACACCTGGTCCAGGTGGGAGACTCATCTCTCATTCCCAAACATAAAGTCATTTAAAGCTGCAGGTCTTTATTTAAAGAGCGATATTTGAGAGAGAAAATCTGGTTTACTTTTAACCAACAGGGGGAGAAAAAACAGATGATTAAATAAAAGAGCCAACCTTGTTCTCAGCAGCAGCAGGCACCGCAGGTAAACTGTGCGTTTCAGCGCGCGCTCAGTCCGGCTCCGTGTCTTTGATCCCGGGATGAAGAGCAAAGTTTCCACAGGAGCTCACAGCCGCTGGGCAGGATGGGTGAAGCAGACCTCCTCAGCTGCGCTGGTTTATGTTCCGCAGGTGAGCTGGGGTCACCGCCCACCGCTGCGTCTGCTGCGTTCAGGGACTGCTCGGAAAGAATTGAGCTCTACAAAGTCGCTGCTTGGGGCTCTAAAAGCCAAACAAGGAGCCGTAGAAATGATTGATCCCGCTACTGCTAAGGTCGACCAGTCAGAAAACATTTAGGGATGTAAATATGCTGCTGTTATAATATCTAATATTATAAAAGCTTCTGTCCAAAGGTAACACAACATTTTGACCTTTTATTATCTCTAACTTTCTTCTGGGCATCCTGTGCAGGCTTTTATTATGACTCAGGTCATATTTAACTTAGGAGATCCCTCATTATGGTGGGGGGGTTACCATTAGGCAATACTAGGCAGTTGCCTAGGGCCCAAAGTTCCTGGGGGCCCATAAAACTCTGTTTACATGTATGGTTAATACAGCTATTCTTTATTTATGCTCATTAATTTGAATGCTTATAATATTAAGTGTGTCTCAGCCCCCCCCCCCCCCCCCCCCCCCCCCTTCAGTGTCCACCATATTGGATCAGTCCATTTGCTGCACATGTTCAGAAAGGTCCAAACAGACAGCAGCAAACCATTTGAAAACAAACCATGCAAAGAGCAGTGTTGCCAACTTAGCGCTTTAGTCGCTATATTTAGCCACTTTTCAGACCCCTCTAGCACTTTGATTTCTAAAAAGCTCCTAGCGCAAAACCTAGAGACTTTTTTCTGGAGACTTTGGAGACAACATCTAAAAGCAGCGAACTCTGCTCTCCAGAGCGAGTAGATTGGTAACCCCGCCTCCTGCTCTCCTCTATCTTGTCTGCTGTCATGATTCATGCAGCTATTATTTCATCCAAATGAAAAATGGAGAACAGATAAGCAGATCATGGCTTGTCTACAGTGAAAAGAAGGACTGGGTTATTTACTTTGGCCTTTTTGGAAACACAGGAAGGAGCAATCAGCTAAGTGAGTTTATTGGACTGATCCAATATGGTGGACACATATAAAATAAAAACACAATTTTATTCCACTCCACAGTTATTCGCCGTCATGGTCTACTCACATATTGTAAACACAGTGATTTGATCTGTTTTGTTTTGAAATGACAACATGTGAAGGTTCAGTACTTTCCATTGAAATGTTAAATAGGTTGATTTTCATTTTAGTTATTTCAACATCCATCTCTATAGGGAAACATCCAGGTGCATATAAGAGGATACAAAACACTAACTCATTGAACATTATAATTAAAATATTTTACCAAATTGCATCATTGATAAAAAAAAAAAAAAAAGAATTCTGAGTTACAAGTGGTGGAAATCTTTTAATAATATAATAATTAAAAATGTCTCCGGACCTTTACTGATTGATGATTTTCTTTATTCGAACCCCTGCTTAACACTATAGCCACAAACAGATTTGATCATTTTTAATTTCCGAGAAGAATTCTATTGACATTATTTATATTTTATACTTTTATTTGATACCTGTAAATACCTTTACTTATGCTTTAAATAGTGTTTCTCTCTTTCTACTCCAGTGCAAATGCACTACTGTAACATGTCAATTTCCTCAATAAAATAACCGAAAAGCTCGGAACACTTGCTGTCTTTGCCAGGTTAACATCTCTTTGACGTTGTATCCTGGTTATTTCCACCACCTCAGCATCCTGTCCCTCATTGGAGACAAGATCTCCTTGGTGCAGGCGATGAAGCAGACTACGCCTGATGCTACGTTCAGACCACACGAGCTAGAGGCAGCAGAAGCAGCTAGTTTAAATGCAAAGTCAATGTTTTACGCGCAGCGAAATGTCCAGCAGTGCGTTTTGAGCAGCAGGAGCATCTGACGTGCATGACACGCTGCAAAAGTAGCAGCTGCTGGAGTTGGAAAATTTTAATTTTAGGTGCTGGACGCGCCGCATAGACCAATCAGAGTATCTGATCTGGGAGCTGGCAGGGAGTCAGACACAGCACTGCTGATGCAGAGCGCTATGATCACTCTTCTGAAACAGTTTATTAATGCCTAATTTAGCTTAAAATCTAGAAACCTGCCGGCAAAATATGTTCGCTTTTATTATTCTGGTGCCTGCAAATTAGATTACGTACGTGAAAAACGCTAACATCTCCTTCCAGCCGCCGCAAACAGTAGCGGAAAACGGGCCAGAGGCTGCTGCTGGGGATTCCCAGTGACAAACCACCGCTGGTATGTGGGCGTCTGAGCGGCTCCAACAGCAAAATAATATTTGAAGGCAGGATGGTAATCTGGATAAACTTACTGACAGACCATGTTTTCAGGAGGACTTTCTCACTTTAAGACATAATTAAACTACGTTTTTCCTAGGGATGCACGATATTGGGATTTTGGCCGATATCCGATATGCCGATATTTTAAAACTCATGTAGCCGATAACCGATATCGATACCGATGTTAAAGCTGGACAAAAATAAGTAGTCATTGAAAATAGCAGTTTTGTTATCCATTTCTGACACTTTGAAAATAATATACTCAAATATATTTTCATATGCTGATATCAAATAGATTTTTAAAAACGCGGTATCGATCTATTTTACTTTCAAAATCTGGTGAAATTTCATCGTTCTGTTACAAACTCTTGTGATATTTTGCAAATTCTTGTGAGATTTTGTTAGTAAAATAGATCGATACCGCGTCAATATATCAACATATAAAAATATGGCAACATTTCGTGAATTTTCGGGGGATTTCGTAGCATAACGATGACATATAGCAATATTTCATTAGTAAAAGAGATTGATATGGTGTTTTTAAATGGCAATATATCAGCATATGAAGATATTGGGATATTTTAATGGATCAATATTTTTTCCCTCGTCTTTAGAAGTTTTTAAGTCTGTAAAAAAGAAGTTTTTGAGGAAGAAGAAGAAGTAGTATTTAATTTTTTTTTTTTAGACTTTAGAAACTCAGAAGCTGATCAAATATCGGGTTAAATATCGGTGGGGTGGCCGATGTCCGATATTCAGTTTTAAGGCCGATACCGATAGGGGTCCGATTATATCCTGCATCCCTAGTTTTACCTACTGATCACAGCAAATATCAGGAATTTGTTCTCTGTCATTGAACACAGAGCAGCAGAAGCATCTGGACACACTTTACTGGACTTCCTTCAGGAGCGTCGAAGCTGCGTCTGACCTTAACGTGGACAAGCAGCAGATTAAAGCAGCAGAAGCTTTTTTGCTGCTTCAAGCGCTTGAGGTCTGAACGTAGCATAAAGGTCCAAGTCGTCAGGTTCTTCTCTGTTTCTAATATATATCACGATGGCCGGTTCATTAGAGAATTTCAGATTACAAAATATGTGTCTAGATTTGCATTGGTGATAAAAGGACAGAAAACTTTTTTTACAACATCACTCCCAAACGAGATATCTAGTAGACTTAGTTTAAAAGAGACAACAACATCCATGGTCTAGCCAAGGAAGAAAGATGGTTTGAGAGAGGGGTTAAGGAAGCCATCTTTGCTGGGGTCGGAAAAAAAAAAAAAAAAACTCTACAGAGGATATGGTGTCAGACATCACCTTTCACCTACTTACAGAGGTAAATAGAGAACCCAAAATATATACTCAAGTGAGAGTAGCACTACTTTATTTTTTTCTTACTCAAGTAAAAAGTATTTGGTAAAAAGGTTACTTATGAACTGAGTAACTGTTGGATGATAACATCGGATTCAATGTTTATAAATGATGCTGGCAAACAGACTTTATGTGGAAGTTCTGGCATTTTAAAGACTCAAATGCATAAAGATCACAAAAACATGTAATTAATAATTATATCTATATCTATATATATAGATAAAAGAAAAAAACAGTGCAGAAGATATAGAGAGTTTCTTAATATGTGTACTTTTGCCTTTTCATGTGCTCGAAAAACATCATCATACTCAGCTCTAGTACTGTTCCAATTCACAAGAACAAGGAGCTCGAGGACAGACAAACCTTCCAGATGTTGTTCTGGCCCCTCCCTCTTTACCCAGCATGCATCAGAGAAGACTTTAGACTGACGGCTGTCCCAGCATGCACTGCAGCAGCTTCCAGGTTAGCGCTCACAGAGCTCAGAGTATTAAATTAAAAATTCTCTTTTCTGTTGCTGTTGTTCTATAAAAGTATGTTTTAAGATCATTTGAGGCGAGAACAATAATTCTATTCAGTTTATTTCTATAGCGCCAATTCACATCATGTCATCTCAGGTCACTTTCCATTTCACCAGATCATCCAGTCAGATTGATTCAAAGTTTTCTATCTGAGGAAAACCAGTTGATCGCATCGACTCATTGACTCTTCAGCAATCCCTCATACTAAGCATGCTTGTAGCGACAGTGGAGAGGAAAAACTCCCTTTGAACAGGAAGAAACCTCCAGCAGAACCAGGCTCAGTGTGAGCGGCCATCTGCTGAGGCCCACTGGGGTTCAAGGAGACAGAAGCAGACATAGAAGAAGAAGCATAGATGCAAAAGGCAGCTGTAAAAGGCGGCCAGCCAGCAGAGCCAACTACCATGTCAGAGGATGAAGAGAGCACATCCAGTTAGTCAGAGAAACAGGACTACACTGAAAAACAGGCCCATCTCCAACATCTATAACGCTTAGAACATTATACTTTTAAGCGTCACTATATGGCCCATTTACTGACTGATGTTGATCGGACCACAGCAACTAGCGGACCTCCGAGGCTAAACTGGAAAACTGAGTATGTTTGTGCTTTATTCATGTATTTATTACAAAGTATTAATCAAACCTGGGAGCTGTGAGACAGACACATCTCTGATGACACAGAGCGCTATGATCACTCCTCTGAAACAGTTTATTGACGCATAAATTAACTGAAAATGCAGAAACCTGCCAGCAGAATATGTTGGCTTTTATTATCCTGCTGCCTGCAGTTTGGATTATTTAGATGAAAAACACCTACCAGCCGCCGCGGTGAACCGCGAGGAGGCGACCCGGCCACAGGCTGCTGATGAATGGGATT